ATTTACTGGAAATTTCACATTTGGGGACAGAACATATACTCACTCATTTCTGTACTTATGATAGGACCATTGCTGATCTTTACTCACTATTTACTCTTTCAGTGGCAGAAAAAAGTTCGGACAAGAGAATTAAATTTTCATTTGCTGAAACGGATTTGTGTTACATACTCTTTTGGAAACTATACATAAATAGGGCTTCCTTCATACTTTTGGTCTCTCCCTTCATCCAAGACAAAGTTACTTATATTTGTACATACCTGCTTCAGGCTAGCTATATAACGCGTTATATACTCTACAGTGACAGGATCCTCCACTGTAAGCCTATGGCTTTGACACTCCACCCGAGCTCTGTTTATAACTATCCTGGCATCTGCCGTAAGCCCTGAAAATGTAACAAACAGCAAAATGTTCATTAAACATAGCAGACATGTAAAAGTCTGGTTCCAAAAATTTACTACAGGAGTCAAGGGGAAAGGGCAAGTATTAATGGCAACTGACACATACTGCTGGGGTTAATTTGTGTGCACATGTGTGCATTTTAAGGCACGTGTTCAGTTACTTCAGCTTTAATTCTCTTTGTGTTTACAAGAAATGGAAAACTTCTAGAGCAAGAAACCAGTGTGTAGCCTGCAATATACTGGTGCTTCATAGGTTATTCAGTTTCTCCAATATAATTCCAAGATGAAAACAGGAAGGAAAGAGTTAAGTAGCCTCCCCAGCAACCCTTCCTTCATTCAAGATTGCCATGTTCTCTTTTTGGCTAAAATAATTGGAATTCCATATCATTTCTCAGGCTCTTAGTGAAGGATAAATGGAATAAAAAGATCCTGTTGTCCCTCCCAGTGAATATGATGGCTACCAATATAATATTGCTTTAAAACTATATTGTTTTAATCAAGGGAAGTGGAAACAATTAACAAAAATTCTTGCTTGCTTGTTGCAACAGTATTTTAACATGTAGCACAAGTTAATTCCAAGGCATGCTCTTGTTATTTAAGGGAAAATAGTACCTGCAAAAGCCATGCAGACATTGTCATCAAGGGCACAGATCTTTCGAACAGTTCTTTCATCTTGAAGTTTTGCCACAGATTTCTTCTCCACACCAAGAACAACAATATCTTTTCCTCGTACTCCAACCTATATTTAAAATTGCATTAATTTATTAGAAACCAACTTTGCAGTCACTATATCAAGTACTGTAACCTTAAAAAACTTACCTGTCAAAAGTAAAAAAATATTTGGGCACAGCTCAAGTTCACAGAAGTCAACAAAAAACTTCAGCCACTAAACTTACCTGGGTGTTGGTTGCACTTAGTTTGCACTAAGAAATGTGAGATTTTAACATGCAATACTATTTGTAGATTTGAATATTAAATTCTCATGTTTTGTGGCTTGTGTAAATATGTCAATAAGTTGAAGAAAACTAAAAATGTACTATCTTAAATGGTTTAAAATAGATACAAAAAGCTTCATCCCACATTCCAAACCACACTATACTCAAACTTTCACTTGTCTTCCTATAAAACACAGATTTTCCATATTCTATAGCCTCTAAAATTGGAAACAATTTTGTTAATTAGTATTTAATTAGTATTTTCTCTAGTAAGTATATCAATTTATTGTGATTCTCTTTAAGATGAATATAAAGCCTACTTAATTACCCTGATGCATTTGCTCCCAATCTTACATTTCAAGATCCTGCTTGACAGCATCTATCATTTGTCTCTAAGTCATATACCAACAAGTTTCAATGTCAAATATATTCAATTAGGAATATGGACTAGTACCACCTACCAAGGATAAAACCATGTACAGTAAGTTCTTTATACACATGGCAAGAACTTGCCCACTGAGACAGAGCAGGGAGTACGTAAGCCCGTTACCTGCCTGTGAACTTCTTCACACTTGTTTTACAAAGCTATGCTCTGTGTAACTTTAGCACAGAAAGCAACTATGCAAGATTTAGTGCACTGTTCTTGCCCATTCCTTTAACATTCTTCTTCTGAATTATCCTAGTATTTCAACAGCTAAACTCAGTTTTACTACTTATTCTTCATCCTAACAAAGCAGCAAGACAAGCCACTAACATTTCCTCCATATATCCAAAGCTATTCAGGAAAGCTATGTGCACAGGAATTCTCTAGGCCTCTCCAGAGTTCTGTCTTTTCTATGTCACAACACAATCAATCTACTCCCCCTTGTACCAGCTTAATTTTTGCCATAGGTTAAACCTATTCCATTTTCTCCAACATTAACCTATTAACCTATTTCATGTTTGCCCCCAACACCAATTAAGCTACTTCTGTCCTGAACTCTAATGACTCTTCCTCCACCCTCTACTGTGGCTTCACTTCTTTCATTCCCATCAGCCTTTCAGCTCACCTTCAATTCAGCTTTTCTTCCAAACACCCAATTTATGCAGATTCATGAAACTTTAAAATATAGAACTCTTCTTAGGAGGGCTTTCACTCAGTTTCCAAGCTTTCTAGTTGCACCCTCACATTCTCCATATTAAACCCACTCTCCCAGTTCTGCACCCCTGAAAATCCCTCATGCAACCACTACTCCACAGGTATAATTGTTCTTCAGGTGAATGAAATAGCAATCTTCTGACTCTGCAAGCTCTTTTTCAGTCTCCTTCAATCAAGTGACATTGCCAATCTTTGTACTGCCCATTCAGCCTACTCCATCCACAGTATCCACAACTGCATTTCTTACTGGGAACACTTGGACTCAAGTAAATAAACAATTTATAAGATTTCTATCCTACTCTTCAACCTGCTGTAAAACTCCAGCATGGCTTATCATAAAAAAATAATAATCATGATTTCAGTTCTCATTTATACAATAAATTTAAAACAACAAAAGGCAGCTTAAAAAGAACCATCTTTAAAGCACATTGGTTAATAAAAGAACTTCACCTGTAGCTCATTAGGTACCCTGATCCTAATTTAGTCAGTCACCATCTCTCACTAACTTGCCTACCTCACAGGATTGTTTGGAGGGTAAAATGAGGTACATATGCTGCTCTGAGATTACTGAATTGTTGTGAGCCATCCAGAAAGCTTTAGTTATTGGATGGTATAGAAATAAAACAAACAGTATTTGAAGAAAAGGTAGAAAATAATGATACAGACAGGCAAATTTCTGCAGGACAGGACAATGTTATCTCAAATTCAGCTGGGGTGAGACATGATAAACTCTGACACCAATTCTTCCCTAACCTTCATCACCACATATGTGCATGTTACATTCCCTACACATTCAGAACCATCAAATAAGCATTTCCTTGACTGCAATCTCTAAATGTGATGGAAGAGACAATATTGAAACTCTGAAGACACCTACATATTTTGCAGGGGAAGAAAAGGACAGAACCAACCCATAAACAAACGCTGTGATTTAAACATATACACCCCATGTTGCACTAGAGTATTCTTCCAAACGAAAGTGTGTAAATTTCTACTAATAATTGGTCAGCAGGAAGTAGTTTAAGAAAAAGATATACAAAGCCATTATGAGCTGATACCTTCAATTTATAAGTGTGCATTTGTTTTTTTCAAATGTAGAAGACATTTAAGTGACTTGCTACAGCAGAGCAAGTCTGATATCTATCTAATCAAACCAGGCCTAAGACATCAACAATAGGTCTGGGTTCAAGTCTTTCCTACCCTGACATACTAATTTTTTAAAAGGAAGACAAAGCACTTTTAGACCCTTTTTAGAGGTCTTCAATCACCTTGAAAGGCCAGTGTGATGTAGTGGCTAAGAGGCATCTGGGTTCTAGTCCCCGCTCAGCCATGGAGCCAACTGGGTGACTTTCGGGTAGCCTCAGACTCTCAGACAAACCTACCTCAAAGGGTTGTTGTTACAAGGATAAGACTGAGGACAGGAGAAGATTTTTGAGTTCTCTAAAAGAAAGAAGGCGAGGTACAAATCAGATAAATAAGTAAATAAAGCCGCTCCTCCCTCCAGCGCTATTGCTGGAGTCCCGTCCAGAAAGAGGCCTGCTTCGCCTCGGTCTCTGCCTAAGAAAATGGAGTCTAACACACACACACACACACACACACACACACACACGGCCGTGGGAAACCTTCAGTCCTTCACTTTCGATCCGGCTTCCCTCCCGCCCCACAGGCTTTCTTTCCTTACCGCGGTGGAGCCTTTTTTCACTGCTTCTTGGGCGTACTCGACTTGGAAAAGGTGTCCGTCAGGAGAGAAGACGGTAATCGCCCGGTCGTAGCTCATGGCAGCGGCCGGCGGAGCGTGTGCGGAGTCCGGACCCGAAAATGAAAGGACGACAGGCGGCAGCCGCAGTGCCCAGTCCCCTCGAAACAGCACCGTCACCTTCCCTCAGCGCGCAGGCACTTCCCGGCAACCCCCGCGCAGGCGCGAGCGGCTATTCACGCACCTTCCTTGCGCAGATTCCGGCGCTCGTCCATAGAGCTAGACGTTGAAGCGCACGCAGAGAGAGGAGGCGATTCTGTACGTCAAGAACGCACTTGCCGCCGCATTCCGCTCGGCCTATCAGCTTCGGCACGCGCTCGGCGCCCCGCAGCGGCTGACGGGATTGGTCACTTAGGACGCGAGGAATTCCCCCCCCACACACGCCTTTCTTATCCGCCCTTTATAACCTCAAACGAATTGAGCTTCTTGGTACGCCAATAGCGCAGGTGAGGTAACCGGGTGAACGGCCGAAAAGCTACTTGACGTTACTCATGTGACGTAGTCGTTTCTCTCGCTCCACCTGCCGCTCCCACGCAGTTGGCGTACCACAGTTTCCTCTCCCTACGCACTTGGCGTACCGAGGTGCTGTTACTGGCAAAGGCAGAGATGCTATTCGCTTGCGACAGGAAACCCAGCAGCAGGGATGCACCATGTGCCGCGCGAAGGGGAGGAGGGGAAGGAGGATTTGGAGGAGAAGGAGGGGGGAAGCAAAGCAGCTCAGGTGGCTTTGCTGCTCCCTCCATCACCAAACCTCAGCAGCTGGCTCTCCGCCTTGCACTAGGAGTAGAAGCGTCCAGGTAAAGGGGGTGCACGAAGGTTCTCAGTGCAATGCCCCAGGCTCATTGCAAAGCGCAGATTGTACCATCTGCTCAGGCGCCCCTCCTCATGCACTGCGGCGAATACTGTGCCTTTGCACAGCAATAGGAGCTAGATAATAACAATATTATTACAGCTTGGGAACCACTATCTTAGTGACACATCTGATCTAAAAAAAGAAAAAAAGACCATCCCACCATGTCGGTTGCCTTTGCTTCTGCTCGCCCAAGAGGCAAAGGGGAGGTTACCCAGCAAACTATCCAGAAGGTAACCGAAAAAAACAGAGAAAAATAAGCGCATGTTTTAATATAGACAAGCGGTTTATGCTTATGCATGTGTGTATATGCGCGTGTATTTGTACTGAGACAGTCTTCCTTCCCGCTGGGGTGGGGGGTGGGAGGGAAGATGCTTAATTCTATCAGATACTCCTGGTAAGTAGTGCATTTGCAAAGAGAAGGAGGAGAAGGAGGAGGTGGAACAAAGCACAGGTGTTCAGATGATGGCAAAGAGAAAGACTGAGGGTATCAAAGGCAGCTGAAGCAGGCTGTGCAAAAATGAAATGTATACGTTAGGTTTGCACGTTAATTCCCTCTTGCAAGGAAATGCTTCTAGTGCTTGGGTGCATTGCAGAAAATAACCAAACTGCGAACGAGAGGTTGCATGCTTTTGACAACGCATTTGTGTTTGGGAAGAGAAAGAAAGCCTCTCAGCCAGGGGCTGTGCGCCTTTTATCTTTTTGTGTGCTCCTGTTCATTTTGCAAACGGGAGAAAGGCTTGTCGCATTTTTAAAGGGGACACACATAAAGTGGTGTCGCTGCTTGTCTCTGGCGTTCTGCATGGTTATCATTATTATGAAAGCAAATGCATGTATGGGTGTTCAGTGTTTGGCATGGGATGGGATGGTGCTGTAAGGTTCTACAAGAAGAAAGAGAAAAGCCGATTCAAAAGGAAATCTCTCGATGCTTGGTGAGGGTATTATTGGACATTTTTTTAAAAAATGGGACTCTATAACCTTCATAAGGAAAGCAGGGCGGGTGTTCTTCTGCGGGCAAGTTTGTAACCCAGCTTTCTGAAGAGGAGAAGGTAGGAGGTAGCGATCTTTGGGGTGGAGAGACAAGGGAATGCTCCATCCAAATTCTCCCCCTGCCTCCTTTTCGCAGGTAGGAGCTGTGAATAATGGAGAGGAGCAGAGATTCTAGTAATGAGCAACTGGTCAGGTAACGCGTTGCTTCCTCTGCTCATCAGGCTCCCGCTTCCCTGGTGGTGACATGCACCAAGCTTTGTCATAGCAATTGTTAAGGGCTCAGTTTAAGTCTAGGGCAACCTAGTGCCTGCCAGTTGCTTTGAACTGCAGCTCCCATCAGCCCCAGCCAATGTGATCAGGGGACAGGGATTGTGGGAGTTGTAGTTGACATATTTAGAGGACACTAGATTCGCTCCCAGTGGTCTGTTGGTCTTGGGAGAAAAGGTCCGAAGGCTCGTTTGTCAATTATGTATTTATTTGTTCCAGTTATATGCCACCTTCCCTCCAAAGAGCCCAAAGTGGCCTTCATAATGCCCCTCCTCTACCTTTTATCAAAGTGGCCCTGCAAGGTAGGTTAGAAATCACTCGTCCAGAGTCTCCCAGCAAGCTCCACAGCTGAGCACGGGTTAGTTCCAGTCTAAAACTTTAACCACAGATCTGTGGCACTTGGTCAACTTTTTCTCCCACAGTGCCATATACAAGGAGTCTAAATTGTAAAAAATCAAACCAGCTTAGATTTGGGTGCATTTACACTTCTGTTGTTATTACTTCCCTGTTAAGATATGTATGTGGGCAACATGGCCAAAATTAAGTCCAGTGCAAACTCTAGGAAGTAAATAGCTTTAGCAGGAAGGCAAGTCTGTGTAAAAAAAGGTCATGTTGACTTGTATGGAGGTTGTGTTAATATAGTACCATCAATGCACATGGCATTTTGCGCTGTTCGGAAGGACAAGCCTTACTTAATTCTCAGCTGTGGTGTTTGTCTTACAGGTTACTTGCTGGATTTTGCTGGCCCTAAATTGCTTCTTAGCAGGCTGGCCCAGAGCTGGTTCAAATCTCACAATTTGAGGAAAACCTGAAGCATGTAAAGTTCTAAAACATGTTTGCCATTAGTATTTTAGTGATATCTGTGAAGGGTGTATGAATGCCAGCTTTCCTTCCACAAAAAGAAGTGCCTTATGTAAAAGTGTGTCCTTTTGGTTGCATTGCAAACAGTTTATAACACCCACGGAAACAGTTTTAGTCATTGGATTGCATATTGCTCAGCAATCCATTTAAGTGAAAGAGAAGGTAAAATGATTGCAGCTGGGATTTAATTTTAATTTGGAATTCACTGGATAATTGTGAGTTTAAGTCCAGACAGGTCATGTAATGGGTAGACTTTTTTATGGGTAGACTGTTACTATATAGGGAAGTCCCAATGTTCTGTCACTAGCAGACCCACCATCTATATAATTTTGTCTATCAAACTAGCTTGGGCCCCAGGATTACCTTCTCCCTGGGTCGCCATAGCATCCCAGAGTGCTGATCTTTTGTATAGCAGTGGGTGTGGTTTGTTAATATCTAGATCATCACTGCTGAAAGCAGAATTTGTTAACCTGCTGCAAGCCACAAATAGAAGCCATGGTTTGTTGTTGGCTTATGAAATATGGCATGTTTAAACCATGGCATAATGGGATGTGTAAATCCAGAACTATGGCTTGTCTCGGTCGCTTTTGGTGTTGCACCCTGCCTTGAATCACAGCTGTGCTGGCTAGGGAATTACGGGAGCCCTTCAGTCCTTCTGACACATTGGAAGGACTCCAGATTGGTAAAGCTGCCCTCTCCTCACTTTTCATCTTCTGTTTCCACTTCTGTTTGCATTTTTAAGAGTCACTGAATTGGGTTTGAGATTTGTTACCCTAGTATAATCAGAACCAGCATTCTCCATTGGAATGTACTCCAATGTATTCCTGTTTTTTCCAGAAAATGCCTCCCCCTTTTCTTTTTCTGTCTTCACTCCTGTTCACATGCCACATTGTGTCCCCTTTTCTCTTTGCCTGCCATGTTGTTTCTCTTCCCAACTCATTGGTACATTTCTCCCATTCTCTTTCCTTGCCTACAGTGCTCGCTCGCTCGCTCTCTCTCTCTCTCTCTCTCTCTCTCCCCCTCCCTCTTGTTTTTTCTCCTTTTTAAAAATGCTGCCCTGTTTATTTCCCTTTCTCTGCCACTGCCCATCCTTGTCCTTGTTTATTTTTGCTTTAGCAGCACAGTTTTTCCTTCTCCAGCAATGCCAGTCTCTGAGCGAGTCTCTCAGTGTGGTTCTAAAGGTTTCTGTTAGAAAAAACTTTCTGGGATAATCTGATAATCTGAAACGCCAGTGTGGTATAGTGGTTATTTTATGAGTAGACTATTGAACTGGGATGTTAGATTTCCAGGTTCGAGCCCCCACTTGGCTTTCTGGGCAACTTGGAACCAGCCTCAGATTCTCAACTTAACCTTCCCCACAGGGATGTTGCAACGATAAAATGGGGATGAGATGCGTGGGTTTGTTCACGAGGGAAAAGTGAGCTAAAAATGTAATAGTAAAAATAAAAGGTGTGCCAGAGCAACCATGTACACAACCAGGGTCACCGCAATCGTGTATATGGTTACATGGGAATGGGTGCCATTGAACTCAATGGGAATTCCTTGACCAGGTACACACAGGATAGTGCTTGAATCGGCACCGCAGGGGTGCATTCATCCTGTCCACACCCCAGTCGGAACCGAAGTTGAGAGACCAGGGCTATGGAATACCTGGAGCGCAATGGCATTTCCAGACGCATCCGTCTCCTGCTCCCCACAAAAATGAATGGCAACCCTGGACTTGAATGAGCTAAATGGTTCTAGCTACCTTTGTCAGGGGGACATTGAGAAAGGTACGAATGTATTCCCAGATTTGGTGACATTGCCCCTCTTCTGCAGCTGAGCGGGGCAAGAGAGCGCTTGACCCCGCATGCAGTTGTATCCCAGATTGGCTGCTATCTTCTTTGTCCATGGAATTTTGGGGAACGTGTATTTATTTATTTATTTATTTATTTATTTGGAACATTTGTATGCCGCCCCATTTGCAAAAGCTTCCGAAACAAACGACTATACACTTTACCACCATTCTGGTTCCCATTCCTTTGACTGGGGCTGGCACATAGGTCAAAGTCCCAATCCAAGGAAAGGAACACAAAATGAGGTTTCTATAGCTATTATTATACCCAAACCATTGTTAAACCCGTTCCCCATCAGCAAGAACTTTATTCAGGACTTCAGCCATCTCTCGTGACTTTTTAAAAAAAATTCTTGCACCGTTTCCTTTGGTTTCCCTTGCATGCGTCCCGCCAGTGCTCCCTGAAAACAGAATGTTCATTTGAAAATTTCGCCCAAGGCATCAATCAATCAATCCATTATTGCTTTGGGGTTGCTCTTCAGCACCATTTTGTTGGTGCATGACCATACAAAATCTCCCTCTTGGAAGGAAAATGCTTCAGTCTAGCCAGTGAAGGAAAGGTCAACCTGAATTTTGCATTCCTGCTGTTCAAGCTGTCATTATGAGACAGGTTACTGTGGAGTAGGCGCAATAAAACTCACGCAGGGCCCTTTGCAGAATAAGTGGCTTCATCAGTGCAGAGCACAAATGGCCATGCAGGTGGGTCCCTAATTTTAAAGACGCACATTTGGGTTTATCTAAAAGCTCATTCTGCCTTAGATCTTGCGGCACTAAGAATCGCATTCTAGATTTAGTTCTCACTGAGGTGGTCAGCCTGTGTTTGGGCTTTATCACATTGGATGACAGATGAGCACTTGCCTTGCGACCTTTTCCCCAAAATAAGAGAGATTCTTCCACCTAGAAAAGTGGTTATCAAGAGGAAGAGGACTTTAGCGTACTAACTTTCTGTGTGCAAGGGAAGATTTTATATGGAGACATACAGGAACCTCTACCCATAATTGCATGGCACAGATCAGACATAGATTTACCATTTCAGTAAGAAGTAACCACTGCTGTTCTCCTAAAAATCTAATACCTGTCAGAGGACATAAAAAATGGTGTGTGGGGGTGAGAGGTAGAATAGGAAGGGAGATATCTAAAGGCTCTTGGATCAGAAGAATAGAAGTTAAAGTCAGCAAAACTGAAGTTCAGGGTTCTCTAAATTCCTTCTCAGAGATAATTTTACTTTTTGTTTAAGTTGGGTCATAACCATTGCTATAATGTTTTGCATGGAAATGTGTGCACACTTTCATCAGTGTTTCTCCAAGTTTTTGAACCTATTCTGTGCATTTTTAAAAGTATGCATTTTCTTCCACTAACTAAAACATGTTTGTGTGCATTTTCCACAAGTATCCATATTTGGAGTGCATTGTTGTTATGCAACTCACACCACAAATTTGGCAATGCACAGAAAGTGTGAAAGGGATACATGTTGGGTTAAAATAAATTCTGAATTGAATTTTTCAGGCATCCCTAGTCAAAAGATCTTTGAAATCTCTCTCCACTTTAGTAAGAGTAACTATATTGGGAATAATTCACAGGTGGTACTTGACCCCATTAAACTACATTAGATTTGTAAAACTAGTTCATCTCTTTCTTGGAGAAGAACCAGGGAGCCTTATGCAGCAGTCAAATATACAGTAGTGACTAATTCCAAGAGACCTTTTACAGAAAGAAATCACTCTCATAGCAAAATAACAAGCAACATTTGATTCCCTATTTCTAGAGCAATGCCTGGAGTTGTAGGCCTTTTTTTCCTATTGAAACTTGCATAAGATTGTGCTTTTAATTTATTAGATGTCTCATAAAACAAACTTGTATATGTTTTGCAATTTAAAACATGACAAATCATATAAGATTCCAGTCAACAATAAAGGTAGTAAGCATGGCTACACAGCATAAAATAAAATATCAGGCAAAAGAGATAAAACTGTATTGTCTTCTTGGACTGGAATGGAATAATTGTATTCTTCTGAAAGACCAACCAGCAATGTGCCAATGGAGCGCTGGTTTCCGGACCTTGGTATCAATAGAAGAACCCTCATGGGGAATTCAGTGGATGAAGGAATTAGGGTGTGTTCCAGTGAGACTGCCGGTGACCCTCCAAGCTTAAAGAATTATGGGCAACCTAAGCCAAGTGGAAGAAGCAGAGATGCACAGGTTGCCTGCATTTTTTCCACCCTGCCTATCAGTTAGATGGCCAGTGGGGGGGAAATAGAGGCTGCGACTCCATCAGGGCTCGGGTATCATGAGGATGCTGGTTTCTTCCCTTTTTCACTCCTCAGAGGCCCCCAAGCCCCTTCTCTGAGGGTCAGTGTTAGATTTTTTTTTTCTGCTCCAGCTGCCAGACCAGAAGACGGAGTCCCAAAGGGGTCTTCAAGGCCAAGGTTGGAGCTGTTTTCTGAGCAGGGAATCTAAATGATCCAGGGATCCTCTGGACTCTGCCTTGGGGACGATAGGACCGCTCTGTTAGCCTTGTTTCATTTTTGTGAAACGAAATAAACCAGTTAAGCAATTACTGCTTCTACATAGATCATTTGGGAAGGATCAATGTTGTTGAAAGAAGTTAAAGAACATTTCTTACATGCTTTCTTTAATACCTGCAGTGGCCCTTTTAACGTATAAATCTTTAAGATTGCATCCCTTGGTTTTAGTTTGCTGGGGATGCATCCTTGTATATTGGTACAGTGGTACCTTGCCTCATGAACTTAATCCATTCCAGGACTCTGGTCATGACCCAAATTGGTTGTGAGCCAAGATAAATTTCCCCATAAGGTTCAATGTAAATAAGGTTAATCCGTTCTGTAACCTTTTTTTAAATCAGAAAAATGTGAAGCAAAGTGACAACAAAGATTGCGACCATCTCCCACCCCGCACCCCAAGCACAAGCGCAGCCATCTCCCCACCGCCACCCAGCACGACTGAGATCGCGCATGTCATCCTGGTGCGCTGGGGGGTGGGGGGGAGAGACGGGCGTGATTGTGGGGGCACTGGGGGACGAAGAGACAGACGCAAATGGCGTGCTGGGGGAGGGAGAAATTAGTGTGATCTCAGCCATCTCTCCCCCCCCGCCCCCAGCATGATCACGGCCATCTCCCCACTTGGGAAGGGGGGTGGAGAGATGGCCGCAATTGTGCTGGTTGTGGGGGTGGCCGAGATTGCACCCATCTTTCCTGCAGGAGCGCGTCCGTGATCACGCACGCCTTCCCTGCACGAACGCGACTGCAATCGTGGCCATCTCCCCACTCAGGTGGGGAGATGGCTGCAATCTTGGTCGCCACCCAATGCGACCAAGAGTTTGCGGCCCACGTCAAAATTTTCATGAAATTTTTGTTCGTAACCTGATTTGGTCGTGAACCAAGGCGTTCGTGAGCCGAGGTACCACTGTATTTTATGTTTGTATTACAGTGATAACTAAAGAGACAATATCCTAGACTGCTCTTGTGTTCCTACTGTTGTGCTAGTGGAATCCCACACAGGAATCCTTGGACATGAGCGGAAATGCTTGTTGTGTGAAAAAGGCACTTAGTTTTGCTGATGTATCCTGTTCTGTGAATTTGGCGACCCATCCCATCCTTGAAATGAGCATTTCAGATTGGTAACCTAAATGGGTTTGTGCTTTCTCTGAAACGGTGAACTCTTTGGGACCTATTCTGCATGCTGAACCCAAGGATGGTTGGGTCTTTTGTCCTGATGCTTATAAACTGACTCTTGTCAAGAAACTCTGTTGTAATCTCTTAACTGTGAGTCGTTATCGGGTCCATAAAGCCTTATAGCTAATTATTGGAATTACTGCAATAAAAGTTTTATTGAGTGTTCTTCCTTAGCTCTGAGAAGTCAGGTTATGACACTCAGCCACATATTCTTGATCTGTTTCTCTCCTTTCATTCAGATGTTGGATGAAAATCACCATCTAATACAATGTATTATGGACTATCAAAGCAAGGGCAAAACAGCAGAATGTACTCAGTGAGTATGATTTCTACATGCATCATGGTTTGTTGTTTCTTTGCAGGTTATCAGCAGTTGAATGATTGTGTATTGAAAATCTCCCTAAGGCTAGGCCAGGGGCCGGCAACCTTAAACACTCAAAGAGCCATTTGGACCCGTTTCCCACAGAAAAGAAAACACCGGGAGCCACAAAACCCCTTTGACATCTAAAATGAAGATAACACTGCATATATCGTTTTTTACCTTTATGCTATGTATAAAAAAACTATAGTGTTGCATTTATGAAATCAATGAATGATTCTTTTATATAATCTCCATCTGTGAATGGCTTCCCGTGCCTGACTATTTCCTGAGTGGCCACAAAACTGGCATATGTAGTTGAATTTGCAGACTTAACCCACTTCTTGAAATGATTTTTGCTCAGATCAACCTTCCGCATCAGTTCCGAAATGGCTTTTTTTCTCTCATCTCCATCCGGATATTTTTCAGCAAAGGCTGTGTGTTTATTCTGGAAATGTCTTGCAACATTTGACTTTTTGTTGTTTGCCAATTTCTCACCACATATTAAGCATACTGGTAAACCAGTCTCGTCAGCAGTGAAAGCAAATGAATCTGCCCACGTACCGTTCTTTTTCCTTCTGAAACTTTTCTTTATTTGGATTTATCCATGGTTGGCCTACCGGGGGTCGAAAAGCTCAGTAAATTGCGTGCTGGCGGGTGTCGCACGTTGGCGGTTGTGATGCATAATTTGAGCGTTAGGGAGCTGCAGCAGAGGGATGAAAGAGCCACATGTGGCTCCGGAGCCGTGGGTTACTGACCCCTGGGCTAGGTAAACACAGGCAGAGGTGAAGTGCCAGCTCCAACCCACGAAAGTACTTTCTCGACCCAGATGAGGGTGATTCTGTGTGCAGAGTTACAGCTTGCTGCTGTCCTGCTTGAAAAATAATTTTAAAAATCAGGCCAGGCAGGGAGTCAGGCAGGGGCCAAGGAAATGGCTCATGTGTGCCTTGGTGCTCATGGGACCATGCTGTAGATTCCAGCTGACGGGGCTGGAACGTGGCCCACACAGGATTAAATTGGGGAGTGAGCACATCCTCTCTCTTGCCCCCCATTGCCTCCCTGAGCTGGAGTGTGTCTTCCTTCCATGGGAACTTGTCCTGCTCATGTCCTGGCCCCTGCACGTTTTGAAAACCTGATTGTCCAGGGTTCTAGACCACCCAAAGCCTCAGAGGGCAACCACGGAGCACGAGGTCTACTTGCCTATGCTCTGCCTCTTGTGATTCTAATCTGAGAGCTTATCGAAAGAGCAGTGTGTAAAAGTTTTATGTTAAGTTAGTAAATAAAATAATCAGGGCAAAATTGAGTATTCAAACATGTTTTATGAAGATGAGCCCACTTCTTAGGCAAAATGTCTATACCTTGCCAAATTTGCAAAGAATTACATTTTGCTTTTCAACATGTTTTATTTTTCTCAGTTCTAAGTTCTTTTTCTTTTGCTATAGATATCAACAAATCTTGCACAGAAACCTGGTTTATTTGGCAACAATAGCAGACTCAAACCAGAATATGCAATCCCTGCTTCCTGCTGTAAGTATCTGCATGAATTCCAGATCCAGATCCTGGAATGTGGACCAGGGAAACTTAAATAAGTCTGTTACTGTGAGCTAAACCATGTCATAGTTGTTGAGCCGGTGTGGAGTTATTAGGTTGTCAGACTAGGACCAGGGAGACTCAGGTTCAAATCCCCACTCTCCCATGAACCTTGCTGGGTGATCTTGAGGTGTTTACTATCTGTGAGCCTAACCTGCTTTGCAGGGTTGTTGTGCAGACAAAATAATACTGGGAAGGGAGAAACTGTAGGTCACCTTCAGCTCCTTGGAGGAATGGTTGGATATAAATGTAGGAAATTAATGATGGATAATTTAGACAGGAAAGTAAATAATTCTGAGAACAAACAAGCCAGCCCCACTTACGGGCTATCCTGAAGCTGATTATTTTGCTGCATATTTATTACAGACAATTCTTTCTTACATGGGGCTCAGCCTGCAAATGCTGCAGGATGAACTAGGAATCTGCTGGGAGACTGTGCCATTTTGGATGTCAGCAGGAGATTAATTTTTTGAATTGTTCCCATAGCATAGAAGAACAAAAAGAACAGCTCCCTGCAAGTTGGCCCAAATTGTGGGAACAGGAAAGGGAATGACTTCCAAAGCCAACTAGGGCCCTGCCTCCCAGGGAGGCTCAGTTGGTGGCAACAAGAGCAGGGCCTTCTCAGTGGCAGCCCCTCGGTTATGGAACAGGTTCCCCATTGAGGTCCACCTGGTGCCGAATCTGCTGTCCTTTTGGTACCAGGTTAAGACTATTCCCTAGGACAGTGGTGGCGAACCCTTTAGAGACCACGTGCCCAAACTGCAACCCAAAACCCACTTATGTATCATAAAGTGCCAACACAGCAATAAAACCTGAATACTGAGGTTTTAGTTTCGAAAAAACAACTCCCAGCCAGTCCAAGCAAATATGTATCTCTATCCTTGGCAGTGCACTGACCAGCCATGCAAAAGCTTGGACGAGTCGCGGCTAATGAGTCGCAGCTCGTGATGTCACCACCTGGTGCCGCTACTCCTTTCTGAGCATGCGCATGGCCCCTGTGTGTGCTGTTGTCTGATGCTTGGCTGCTGGGGCGATGCTGACTCGCGTGCGGACAGAGAGGGCTCTGGGTGCCCCCGCAGCACGTGTGCCAGAGGTTTGCCACCACTGTTCTAGGACAGGGTTCTTAATCAGCTCTAGATAGTTCATTGAGGCATTATGTCAGCTGTTTAACAGGCCTCGTTTTAAATTTGTCTGAGCTTCTGCAGTTTTAAATTTGGCTTTTAAATGTTATAATGAATGTTTTATGATGTTCGTATCATTTGCATTCTTAGTGCATTTTATTTGTATTTTATGGGCTGTTGTAAATGGCTCAGAGAGCTTCCACTATTAGGAAGTACAGAAATAAAATAAATAAAAATCAAATAGACTACTTCCAGGCAGGCCTGAGATCCAATACTTATTAAAGACACTGGACATTTCCGTGCCAGGAAGTGGTGGATTCTGTTCTTTTTAAGAGTTCTGGGGAGAAGGGAATGTTTCAGAAATGCAGCACAACCTGGCTTAGTCCTGCCGCTGTCTGAAGATATTCATCCTTCTCTCCTGCCTACTCTTGCAGTGGTCTGTACCAGGGGAGAGGGAAGTGTGAGTAGCTAGCAAGATCCCCTGGATGGTAGGAGAAATTGCTCCCACAGAATATCCCCTAGCCTGGGGGGTCCAGTCAGAGGTTGGCAGCCTTAGGCTAGATGATGAATGGGTTGTGCGATCCCATCCTTTATTGAACACAAAAGTCATTAATAGATCCATGTGTCATTTAACTAAGGATACCTACCTGCACAGTTGGGAAGCGTTTGCTATCTAGTAAAGCTGGGGGTGTATCTTCCAGGACTTAGTTTATATTGCCACTGTCAAAATGAATGCAGTGAAGCAAAAATGTAAATTAGTCTAATTGTTTCGGTACTGCCCATAGCCAAAGCTCTCTGGGCAGTTCACAACATTAAGTCAGCCACTCAAATATCAAGCAGGCCTGACCCTGCTTTGCTTCCAGGTTTAGGCAGGACCAGGCACTTCAGGCTAGATGGAAGTAAAGAAAGGATTAATAGGGAATACTAGCTATTTTATATGAAATGTCTGACTATTTTATATGAAATGTCTGAAATGTACATCCTCCTTATCTTTTCTTAAGTGCAGTCTGCCATGGGGGTTTTTTGGAACAGGGGGAGGCGGGCTGTGCACCGTGCTGGTGTAAACTAGGGGATGCCCAATTACTCTTACCACATAAGAACGTAAGAAAAGCCCTGCTGGATCAGACCAAACAGACCAGCACTCTGTTCGTCCTGCCCCCAGGATCCCTCAAGCAGGATAGGTACCAGACCTTCAGCCGCCCAAGCTTCTCAGCACTTCGCGTATGTAGGCCTGCCGCCTCTGATGACAAAGACAGCACCTCGCCAGCACGGCCGGTAGCCAGAGATAGCCTCTTCCCGCTGCAAGTGGTGCAGTGGACTACCCAGCAGTGCCCCATCCCAGTGTTTGTTCATGCTCAAACGCAGATCTCTGGCTTGTCACACCTCCAAAGAGCCAAGGAAACTACCCTAGAATAAACCACTTGTCCTTTCACTGACTTCTTGGGGAAGAGAAAAGCCAGAGGTCTAATTTCATTTATGATTGCATTTACGTCCTGCCTCTTTCAAACAAATCCTTTTGGTCCTCCCTTTCCTCCTCTCCATTTTATCCCTGCAACAACAACCCTGTGAGGTAGGTTAGGCTTAGAGTGAATGGCTGGCCCAAAGTCATCCAGGGAGCTTCGTGGCTGGGCTGGAACTAGAACCTGGATCACCCCAAGTCTCAGACTGACCGTTGGCCGTGAGATCTAGCCCAGGCAGCCATGGGATGGCACCCCCGTGTCCTTTAGCCTTTAGCCATTCCCTCTCGCAGTGGGAGTGATGAGAACCATGCCTTGTTCACGAGGACCAGCAGTTTTTTAAAAAGTGGATTGTTGTGGCAGGCAAACTACCTAGTTTCCTTAATATTTGGTGAATGACCTAATTAAATGCTATGCCAGCAATATATTCTTTGCAGGTGATTGAAGAGCACTGTGATAATTTAGCTTTGTCGAGGGAGAGTGAACTTTCCAGCCCATCTGCCATCTTCCTTACAGAACATATCCATGCATGTTTTGAAACAGCGCCTGGCAAAGGTGGAAACGCTGGTTCTCTTCCTCTGACAACAGAGCAGGATGCTATTTTCCCTGTGCTGGGAAGCCAAAGCTAGAGCTTTATTTATCAGAGATACCTTTTCCTTTTTATGTAATTAAAACTGGAATATTTCTAAATAGTCAAGAAGTTTGGCTAAGTTTTGTGGTGTTCTAGCAGTGCTCCCCTCCCTCCCTCCCTCCCTCCCTCTCTCTCTCTCTCTCTCTCTCTCTCTCTCTCTCTCTCTGTTCTCTAATTCACTACTAATTAAAATGGATTACAAAATAGCAGGGGGGTGTCCAGAAACTAATTATCCCCCTAACATTTAAGTGTCTCGGAAGCTTGGGTTTCTTCTGGGCTCCTCAGATGAAAGAGGCAATCCTATGTGTTGGTTGGTTCAGGATTGAAACCCTTACTCATGAGGTGGCTTATTACAACTCATGCATAATAACAATAGCAGGAATTCTGCTGGATGAATTTTGGTTTGGTTTTAAAGGATGGCCTACCCCATAATGACCCCCCCCCCCCACACATACACACACTGAATTTCACTGCTTCTTCTTGCCATCTGCAGCCGCCGACGCAAAACATGACCCTGGGCCCGGGAGGAATGAATCAGAGCGCATCCAACCAGTCTCTTCATTCACAGAGCAACCTCAGTGATGCAATCGGGACAGGCCTTCCTCCGTCCTCCCTCATGCAGAGTCAGATCAGCAATGGTGAGCTTTCCAGGGTTGCTTGGCAACCGCATCCACGGATGCAGAACGTGCTTCAGAAGTGGGCTTTTATGGCTGGTTAACTAGCCTCTCGAGCATGTAGGGAGAAACTGAGTGTAGTCTTTGAATATGCACAGATCGGTTGCCGTTGTGCCGTTGCTGCTTTTCTGTCACAGCAGTGGGTTTTGACAGGAGGAATCGATACGTCTAATCTGGGGCTGATGCTGCTTAAATTGTCGAGCGTTTAGATGTTGACTCCGGGGTTGAAGAGTTGCATGAAAGCAGCAGAGGACAACACCAATTCCTTGCACTGATTTGGTTTCAAGCATTTTCAAGAGTGGAGAAACTCCATGAGAGGCTGCATGTGGTGCAGAGGGGAAAAAAGACTGAGAGAGCCGGAAAGAGCCATTGATTTAACTGGCTCCGGCAACCGAATCCTGTACATGTTTACCTGGAAGTAAAGTGCAGCTGTGCAGATTCGGTCTTAATTCCAACTAAGCATCCTAAGGCTGCAATTCCATGTGGTTCAAACAGAAAAAAGCCTAACAACTTGCAGAACTTCCCCGCCAGTTGTGCAAAGCATTTTTCTGCCTAAACATGCATCGGATTGCACCTTAAAGCCCTGGCAGCCCTGCTCAGCACTTGTAAATTCCAGGCAGTGGCTCCCTTGATGGAGTCCTTCCTTCTCTTACTTGATCTTCCCCTTCTTCCGCTGCCTTCAACTTTCCCTAGCATGGTGGTCTTCTCCCATGGATCTTGCCTTCTCATGATGTGCCCAAAATATGCGTAAAAAGGTTTTCTTGTTGTTGTTATAACATACACATACAAATAAAAGCATAAAAGGCATTAAAAAGCATTTTCCACAAGAGATTAGAATAAACACTATACCTCAAAGTTCAAGAAGGTAAATGGGAGATCACTGCCAGATCTTTCGGAACAAAGGCTGTAATATGAAACAAGCGCCTTCATTCATGGAACGATCACTCCACCTTGCATCAGTTCAGCCGTCCCTTCGGCATCAGGTCAAGATGGCCCTCTACTCCCAGGCATGTAATGGTATTTATTGGGATCTGATGGGCAATTTGTGTCAACAGCCTTTTAAGCATGCCTAGGATGCTTATTGAAACAATGTTTTGGCTGTTTGAATTTCCCATATTGAATTTTTATGTAGTATTTTGTAATGTGTGGTTTACACTGCTAAGGATTGTTGTGAACTGCCCAGAGAACTTTGGCTGTTGGGAGGTATAGAAATGAAATCGGTAATGCTAACCATCCATTCTGAAGTCAAGGCAAAGCCAATTCATCTAGAGGTATTAAAATGTACATCGTCCTTAAGATCTTGGCTTTTACCTTTTACACGGTTGTGTACCCTAAGTCCTTTGGCGTAATTTCAAAAGCTTTCTGCAAGTATTAGTTCCAGCCTCTGTTAACAGGGATCTCTCCCTGCCCTGTCAGCCCCCTGCGCAAGAAGGAAGACTCCATAGCCACAAAAAGGGCAGATGCTATTTTAGGCTGCATTAATAGCATGCACTTCCAGATCCCATGAAGTACTAGTTCCCATTCCCTCAGCACTGGTTAGGCCTCATCTGGAGTCCTCCACACTTGAAGAAAGATGCAGGCAAGCTGCAAAGGGTTCAGAGGAGGGCTGCAAGGGTGATCCAAGGACTGGGAACAAAGCCCTGTGAGGAGAGATGGAAAGAACTGGGCATGCATGTTTAGCCTTGAGAAGAGAAGATTGAGGGGAGGCAGGATAGCACATCAGAAGTGCTTGAAAGGCTGTCAGAAAAGGGAAGGACGGGTCTCTTCTTGATCATCCCAGAGTTCAGGGGCAGGGGATAATGGGCTGAAGTTACAGGAGACCAGATTCTGGCTGCATATCAAGAAATACTTCCTGACTGTTAGAGCAGAACGACAATGGGACCCATGACCTAGGGAGGCTGTGGGCTTTCCCACCCTGGAATTTGGGATGCAGCTGCGCAGCCATCTGAGAGGGATGGCTTGACTTGGAGCCCTGCACCGAGCAGGGGTTGGACCCGATGGTCCTCAGCCCCTTCCAACTCTATGATCCTATGACGGAGAGAGACAAGGGGCAGCCTCAGCATGCAAGGAGTTGATACGGGAGCAGCTTGTGCTGCAGAGTAGAGAAGCTGCCGAATTACTTCCCCGGCTTCTGCAGGATCCTAATTCTAGCTTCCCTTCTTAAAAAGAAGAGCACACTTTTAGTCCTCATGATCATGGAATATGTTGCGCATTGGAAGCAGTCAAGTAAAGGAGCAGAATGCAAGAGCAGGCCCCGCGGTGCATCTAGTGCCAGAGCATATTATTTATTCAGGCTGCATGTCTTCCCTTTCCTCCTTTGGTCTCCCGATCCCAAATATTTACTGTTTTCTTCTGTCCTATATATCACTGGCTCCCTGGCTGTTTCTCACTGGTTATCAGCAATAACTCTACATTATTTAGAGTAGTGGGGAATAGTCTATAGCCTTCCAAGCCCACAGCTTTGCATTCTTCGTCTAAAATAAATAAAGGAAGGCTAAAAATGCTGTCGGTGTTCTGCCCTGGCTGTGATTTGCGGGCTTTCTGGCTGCGCAGTTTTAAGTACAGGAATCTCGAATCGCAGAATATAAGGGGGGATTCATCCGCACTCTCCCCCCCGTGTTTTCTTCTTTGCTTTTCATCTAGGTCCCAGTCATGTGTCTATGCAACAGTCAGGCCAGAGCACGATGCCCACAACTTCCCTCAGCATGACTGTCAGTAGCCACGGAACTGGAACTGGCTACAGCCACACGGTGCCTGCGTCTCAGAATGTACCCATGCAAGGCCAGGGCTCGATAGGCAACTATGTCTCGCGAACAAATATCAACATGCAGTCTAATCCCGGTAGGCTGGGCTTACCCATTTTGCTGACGGTAGGCAGAGATGTCCTTGTGGAAGATGCCAGGGCTAGTTGGGCTGGGGGAAGTGGGGTGGAATTTGGATCCAGAGAATGCTGCAGCATTCTTGTGTAAGTCGAAAGCTTGCATACTTTGGTTTTCATTTATCCATGTATGCATGTGAGAGGTCGGGTCTCTGCCCCATAAGGCTTACCGTCGAAAAACAATCTTGCAGCCCTTTTTGACCCTTGGAGCATCCCCAGCCCATGTGGCCTCCCCAGGCAGGGGTTAGAGAACTGCGTAGCGTGAGATTGTGCGCATGCGTGTGTGTGTTGCAGTCTCCATGATGCACCAGCAAGCAGCGACGTCGCATTACAACTCTGCGCAAGCGGGGACTCAGCACTACCAAGGCCAGTCTTCCATTGCCATGATGAGTCAGAGCAACCAAGGGAACAGCATGATGGGCCAGCGGCCGATGGGTCCTTACCGACCTTCACAGCAAGGTAAAGCCTGAATCCTGTGAACCTCTGCAAGGCCGTGTAGCTTTTGGGTAGGATCCTGCAGCGGGGCCTGGAAGCCTTCCAATCGGAGGCGTATGTTCATCCTACGCAGGATGCGAGGAGCAATGGAAGCAAGTTCCACCTCAGTATCCTCTTGCCTTGTATTTTCTCCAGCTGAGCTTATATGCCCATCTCAATGGCATCCTTTGCGGGAGTAGGGAGCCGGGAAGACTTCAGAACAGCTCTCATCCTGGCTTCTCCCATCTCCTCCCTGCCCATCCACCGGAACACCCCTTGTTCCTGCTCAGCAAGGTTGCATTTTGACCTTGGAGATCCATTTGACCCAGTTCTTTCCAATCTGATGGGGTGGTGGGGACACTGTCTCCAACCACAGAAAATCCTGCGGTCCTTTAAATACTATTTGAGGGCCACATGGATGCTCCCTTAAAGGTGCAACTGAGCAAAACTCAGGGACAGTGGCTGATTGTCCTGTGGGGGCAGGGAGTCTAATGATTGCCACTGTGGAAGGGAACTTATTTCCAGTTGGAGCTACAGAGATGGATTTAATATTTCCCCCTCCTGTGCTATTTTCATAGCTGTAGAGCAAATAGCAGCTTTCAGGGAACAGGAGGATGGATTATCCAGTGTGGTGTAGCGGCTAAGAGCATGGGACAGGGACTCAGAGGATCTGGGTTCAAGTCCCCGCTCAGCCATGCAGCCAAGTGGGTGACTTTGGGCCAGTCACAGACTCTCAGCCCACCCTACCTCACAGGGTTGTTGTTGTGGGGATAAGATGGAGGAGGAGAGATGATGTAAGCTGCCTTGAGCCCTTTGTAGGAAAAAGGCAGGATATAAATCACAATAAAATAAAAAATTTAAAAAAATTATCCAGAACGAACAAAACAGGGGTGGATTGAAGTACCCCACACCCCACTGCAGGGTTCCATTCCATGCCAGCCTCCATCCGCTGCCACTGCTTTGAAAAAAAAATAAGAGAAAGGTTTCATAGGGCTTTCTCCTTATTAAGCGTGAATGCCAAAATGAGCAATGCAGATGTTTTGGCCTGCAATACCCATGATCTCGCACCACTGGCTATGCTGGCTAGAACTGGTGGGACTCCAGATGTTTTGGCCTGCAAGTTGCCCATCCTGGGTGTATAGGACTGCATCCTTAAACACCACCCACTTACCTGGGTGCAGAGCTGCAATCCTTGTCCTTCCCCGCACGACGGTTGCTAGACCAGTAAGCGATGGTGATCCTGAACTTGTGAGGTGAGCTGCACTCATGACCAAACTCCTCAAGTTCTGGCAATGAAACTTTCCTGTGATCCTGCCCCAGCAGCTTCAGTCCTGAGTCATTTTCCTTCTGGCTCCAGAGATCAGGGAGTGGGAGGTCACTAGCCAGCTATCCTGTTTTCTCATCCCTGTACACAGCCAAGCAAAAATGTTCTTTTCCATGCCGGTTGCCGAGGGGCCTGAAGGCAGTGCCACAATGCCCTAAATCCTGACCCAGGTGACGTTTTAGCTTTCCATGGGATGGCTGGAAACAGACTTGCTTTGCCACTCCCCCAACCTGCATCCTATAGATGCACGTGGTTTCTGGCCGGCAAGGACCAGGCACAGTCCTGCCACGTCTCACCTCCCCACTTTGATATTACTCCTCATTCCCCCTTCCAAGACATCTCTCCACCTGAGTTGCATCCTCCCCCCCTGTGCCTTGATGTTCATTGGCTAATTTAATGCAAGGTGTCAGTCTAAGCCAGCACTTTCCCAATGGCATAAAAGACAGCACCATGCCCATAATGAGCTGTCCCTTCGCTGCTTTCCATCCACCGAAGTTATTTATTCAATAATACTTTCATGCCACTGAATGCAGTAAAATCCTTAAGTGCTCTAAGGAGGAGTGTGATGGTCTGGACATAAGCTGTTTGGCTTGATGACTCAGCGGCTCTGTTCCACATCATGACCACCCACCCTGGCAATAAGCCACAGAGGGTCATTCTGCAAACAGCCCATAGTGTGCCTGACAGGCGATGGGGCTCTTCATGGGTTGTCCTCTCCCCCCTCCTCCCTCAGTCCTCCTGTAGATATTTCTAGGGGATGGACCTTCATGGCAGGGCCAGCTTGTCTCCCCCTCTCCATCCCAATGCTGAGCCATTCCCAGTTCACTGTAGGCTTGTTGTCCTTTTCAGTCCAACCCGGGAGATCATGAAAGCTGCTTTAACAGCTAGCTTTCACACTCCCTGTTTGGACAGCCACTGACGGTCCCTCCAAAGTGCCTAAATATCACACGGGAGGGGCTGTCAGCTGCTGGGAAACAGTTTTTCCTAAAGAAAAAAATGGGTGAGCTAGTCTCTCTTTCTATCCCACTCCCATGGCTTCTGAAAACAGGGAAAATAATTCAAGGAAATGTAAAGATCTGTTGTAGTTGCTCCATAAAGGCCAAAGGGTCAAAATTAGCTTGTTTGCCAGCTAATTTTGATTCTTCTGATACTTGAGAAGTTCCAGCTGCCATTTATTTTTATTTTATTTAGTTTTATTTATAAAAAAACAAATTGAAAAGCTGAGGTCCCCATCCTGTCCACCTCCACTCTGTGGTCCAGCACCATCTATCTGGCTGGCTGGCTGGCTGCTTTTCTGCACAGCTTTAAGGCAGTCTGTCTCCAGTGAACTTTCATCAGAAAGGAAATTGAATCCCACCTGCCTCTTGCGGGAAAAGCTGGGAGCCTGTCGTCCCTTGAATCTGCCTTTCGCTGAATGGGAACAGGGCTTTTGGCTTCCTCGGCTCTCCAGGAGGCTGCTGTAACCCCTGTACCACTCCAGCTCCTATATTGAAATTTCACAGCAGAAGTGAGATTTGAAGAAGACTCATTCTTACTCGCTCGGCCACCCCAGAACCTTCTTGGTAGGGGGCAGTCCAATACACTGGGTGTCAGGGCAAAAACAGTCCTTTGAAAAGGTTATTTCGTCTCTCTTTGCAGTCACAGAGGAGTGAGTAAGACTTTTTGCTCTGCTTTATAGGCTCCTCTCAGCAGTACATGGGCCAAGAAGAATACTACAGTGAACAATACAGTCACGGACAAGGTTCCTCGGAGCCCATGAACCAGCAATATTATCCTGACGGTAATTTTGCTCCCTGTTCAATAGCTCCATTTCTTCATGCTTTGAACTGCAGGAGGCTTCTGACGATCCAAGGATGGAATTTAAAAATTGGCAGCTGATCCACCCCCTCTCAGTTCCTTTCCAAACAATCAGACCTGTTGATTTTACTATTTTTCGAGGGAGTTGGAAGCTCAGGATCAATGCTGCCAGGAAGCCAAACCAGGTCATAGATGACATAGCAACTAACAATGGCATGAACAATAAAAAGAAAATTGGGGGAAATGAATTAAACAATATGTTTAAAAACAGAGCATTGATAACAGTCATGGCTGGGCAGGCAAGGAAAGCTTTCTGGTATCGAGATGTTTTGGGGGGGGTGGCGCTTGAAACAACCCAGTACTGGTGCCTGCTTAGTCTTTTCAGGCAGGGAGTTCCATAGAAATGGGGCCACCACATTGGAGGCTCTTCTGCTAGGGGGCCCAGTCAGGCCATGGGTCCATTCGGAACCACCAAGAGGAGGTTCTCTGATGACCTCAAGTGATGAAGCAGGCAGGTAAGGGAGAAGGCGCTTTTTCAAGGACACTGGCCCCAGGTTGCTTGGGACCTTTATGCACCAGGTTCTGAATCTGTAAACCGGCCAGGCAGTGAATAGGCAGCCAGCGGCATGAAGCGGCTCTCGGCAATCTTGCTATGCATCTAGACGTAATTGAGGAAAGAGGCAGGGCGGTGTCACTGTTTTCAGTGGCAGCCGCACGTATTCAGTCAGGTAGGCTGGACAGGAAAGCAGCTCCTTAAGGAGTTTTCCTTAAAATCTATTGTCCTAACTCCGCTATAGCCCCACAGCCCACAGTGTTGTATCAGCACAATAGATGCTTTCATTGGTGCTGGGAGGATGGAATTGGACAAGGTGACTAGGGGTCATCCAACAGCTGTAAAATATGTAAAGAAACAGGGAATAGATGACTTTATCACTGCAAAATCCAGAAAAGTAAAATCAGAATTTGAACCTTGGCACCTTTAATTGCAGAATCTTTTTTGCCTGCCTGCCTGCCTGTTTAATTTAGGCATGAGCTGCATGCTGGTCATGTTCACATGACAGATTTTGAGTTGTTGAAAGTGTCTGTACTTGTCTATTCTGGAGTGAGCCCTTTTGTATTAAATAGGACTTCCTCCCATGTAAGTCTGCATAGGATTGCAGCCTGAGTGGTCTTTCCCTCCCCTCCTGTAGCAGCCTTCCCCAATCTGGTGCCCTCCAGGCTGTCTGGGGAATGATGGGAGTTGTAGTCCAACACAGCTGGAAGGTACCAAAAGTTGAGGAAGGCTGTCCTAGGGGGAATTGTAATTGCGAAGGCATGGGGAGGCTATGGATTTCCTACAGTGTATTTAGCCTCTCATTATACTACAATTTCTAGGCTTCTTTAGGAGAAGCCATTCTAAAAAGCAGTGTAAGTTTGGAGCACACACGTACCCTTTCAGTTTTAAATTCCCTGTTGTGCATTTTCAAATGTGTGAGTAATTATCTCTTTTTCTGATGAACCTTTTTCCTGTTGCTTTGTTTTGCTATCTGAGTACAGGTCACGGTGATTATGCATACCAGCAGTCAAGTTATTCTGAGCAAAGCTACGATAGATCATTTGAGGATTCCACCCAGCATTACTATGAAGGAGGTAAGCAGACGGTTAGAGGCATGTGCCTTGTGGAAGGTACTGTGTGTGGGATATGTGCACAGACATGTTCTGATTTATACTTGCTTGCCGTAGTAAGCTGATAATTTTGCCGAGTTTCTCTGGGGAGATGGACACCACCATACAGATGCCATCTGCAGGTGAGACAGGAAGGGTGCATTCTCCCAGGTGGGAACAGGAGGAGATGGAAGAGGCCCAGAGATGAGTTATTCTTCTCTGCCCTCCAAAGTAGCCTTGCCACATGTCTAGCAAGATCTGCAGGGCAGGAGGTCGGGTAGGCCAAAATGGCCTCCACTGCTCCTCCAGCCCTGCATGGCCAATCAGATGCCTCTTTAGTTTCTACCTCATACATGGGAAGTGTTTAGAACCCAGAACCCATCAATTTTCAGCCTTTAGGCTAAACTAGCGCCAACAGAAAAGGTCCTCTCCTGCATCCAAAGAATATGGTTACATCAATATTGTCACTGGAGCTCCATGGCCGTCAGCCATTGTGTCCTGGTACTGTTGTCACCAAAATCCAAGAAAACTTCTTTTTTAAAATTATAAAAAGGACCAGCATTTACATAGGCTGCTTATTTAATCTCTGATCCCAGCAGCTCTGCTGTGAGACCTCTGCCCAAACGGGACTCGTCACGTGCTGCTCCGTGCCATGCAGTCCGCATGGAGACCGTGACGTCCAGGAGGGCGACTGCACTGCCAGGAGCAGGGAGGATCTGGCGCACGTGTGCTGGTCTAATGCGAGTCTGGAGCCCTTGTCAGCTGCTTTTCTCTTTCTAGGGAATTCCCAGTATAGCCAGCAGCAGGCAGGATACCAGCAAGGAGCTGCACAACAGCAAACATATTCACAGCAGCAATACCCAAATCAGCAAAGTTATCCAGGACAACAGCAAGGATATGGTAAGAGAATCTGCTGGCATGCTTTGCTGTCCTTGAACCCTGACTATGCCAAACAGTGCCTATTCTTTTAATTTTTTCTTCAAAGAGTTCTGAGGGCCGCCTGTGTCAGCCCAACCCCTTTTATCTTCACAATGCTCCTGCGGGGTGGTTACACGGAGAAAGAACAGCATAGCAGTGAGCTTGGAAGATGAGCGGCTACAAAAAGTCTTTTATACCTAAAGCAACTTGCCCCAGTCTTAAAATCTGCCTCAGAGTTCTATTATTATTATTATTATTATTATTATTATTACTATTACTATTACTATTACTATTACTATTATTATTACATTTCTATGCTGCCCCTTGCCGAAACCTCGGGGCGGCTTACAACACAATAAAATACATTGAAATACAATAGAACATAATAAATTACCATTAAATACAAAAATACAAAAAATACACTGAGTTACAAATATAAAATTAAAATTATCTGTATAAAATAAGTAAATAAAAATATAGGAGGAGAAAAGCCAGCTTCAATTTCTGTTTGGCTGGCAACAAGTAGGGACAGGGTCTTTTGAGTGGTGGCCCTGTACATTTGGAATTCCATTCCAGAGGATATATGTATGTCCCTCCTTTCTGATATTTTAAATGGACTTTGAAAACTTTTCCAGTCCACATTCTCAAAAGATTTTGTTTGTGTGCTGGGGTTTTACTTCTTTTAGCTTTATGCAGGCTTTGGTTTGTTTCATTGAATCATTTGAGCTGATTTTGGATTCCAAGGCATCCATTTTGATCATAAAGAATAGTTCTTAAATGAGGTTGTCCACATGGTTGATCCTCATGAGAGAGCAAATATATAGGACTTCTCCGCCTTCTCCTCACTTTGAAGGCCCTCCATGTACAACCTAAAACTGCTTCAGGGTGTTGGGTGATGCTCTGAAACCTGAGGAGACGAAACCCATTCCACCATACGTGGAAGTCTGTCTTCTGTCAAATACCAGCAACTATTCCATCATCCTGCAACAGAGGGAGAGATGAAAAGCCCTTCCTTTCATGCTCTCTGGGTCAGTCCTGATGCACATTGCTTCTCTCCTCTCCTCCAGTGGCTTGCTGTCTACTCAGCCCTGATGCCTGTGACATTTCATCACCTGGGGAGAGTTTCTGGGTCATCAAGCCCTTCTCATTAATCCCTCACGAACTATTAGTTCTTCATGAGGGAAAGCCCATCCGCCATAATCCAGGCAGGCGGCCGAGAATATGCTCCCTCCATCTCTCGGACCCTTGTGAGACGCTCTGCTCTTTCTTCCCTTCTCCCCAGGGCCAGCCCAAGGAGCCTCGTCACAGTATTCCAGTTACCCACCGGGCCAGGGGCAGCAGTACGGAAGTTACAGAGCTTCGCAGACAGGGCCAGGGGCACAGCAACAGAGGCCTTATGGCTACGAACAGGTAAACTGGGGAGGAGCTCCTCCCCCTCAGGTGGGCGCCCTGCTTCCTTCCACAGCACAAGGAAGGGGGAGGTGCAGAGGGACCTCGGCTCAGGAGCCCCTCAGTTCACCCTCAAATCCGGTCGCGGACAGAAATTTCATAAAGATTTTGCCACAGGTCGCGAACTCTGCTTCGGGTCGGTCGCCTTCCCTGCAAGGGCTCGATCATGGTCGTGCTGGGGGGGGAGGTGGCCGCGATTGCGCCCGTGTTCCCTGCCTGAGCGCGCCTGCACCCGCCTCCCCTCCGCACACCTGCAATCGTGCCCGTCTCCCCCCCCCCCAATGCATGATCGCTGGGGGTGGGGGAGGTGGCTGCGATCTTTGTTGTTCTTTGTCACTTTGCTTCAAAGTTTTGTGAGTAAAAAAATAATAATTGTAGAACAGATTAACCTTACATTGACCCTTATGGGGAAATTTGACTTGGCTCACGACCAGTTTGGGTCACGACCAGAGTCCTGGAACGGATTAAGTTTGGGAGCCAAGGTACCACTATATATAATTCTGCTTCTGTCTGCTACTCTTCTTTGGTTTCAGACAGTATGGACTATACTGGCCAGGACTGTCTGCTCATGTGACAGCAGGCTTCCATTCATGGGTATATTTAAATAAGTTAAATGAGTTTAGAAAACAAAGCAACCCTGAAGTGTAAAGCCCTAGGGTCCCCTTAGAATGAATGTGAAGTTTTGGATGTCTCGGTTTGACAGTCTTGGCACTGCATTGAGAGACAAATGGGGAGACTCTTCCTCTTACATGGTGACGAAACAGTCAGCTTGGGGAAGCAAAAGAGGACGGGTAGGAGCTGGAGAGTTTGCCCCAGAATCTAAAGTTTCACAAGGGCTTAGGGCCTTGCTGCGTTTTGAAGCCCTTGCAGACCGTCCTTTTAGGTATGCATCAGTTTGGGAACCTGTGGACTTCCAAACATGGTTCCGTGGAAATGCCCGTCATTCCTTACAATTGGCTATGCTGCTGTGGCTGATGGGAGGTACAGTCCAGCAACATCTGGAAGATCACATGATCCGTGCCGCTGCTACACATTTTCGGTGCCCTTGCTTATTTACTGGATGCTGAGCCTGCTCCAGTGGCCACATGGTACAGTACACTCGAACAGGCTTGAACCAGTATGGAATACTGGGAATTGTAGTTCAGCGAGAATGCTGAAAAGTGTCCTGGAGAGGATTCTCCACATTTTGTTAAATTGTGGTTGACAATAGATGGGAACATTCTAAAGTGGAAGAGGTTGATAAATGAAAGCAAATTAATTGCATCCCAGTATATTTGCTTTCAGGGCCGAGAATGTGCCTTGAAAACAAATTCCTTCCACCGTACCTGCAGCACATCTCAAACCACTTTTCCCACACTGAGAGCATGGTCCTACATGGCATTCTTGGAAGTCACTCCACTCGGTTCAGTGAATTTTCTGCCATGTATGCTTGCACAGGATTGTAGCCTTGAAATGTCTGTCTTCATTTTACAACTCCCTGGATTCCTTGCAGAAAAGTAGGACAATTAAAACTGTACTATAAAAACCATCCTGTTGATTCTCTGTAATGACATTATTTTTTTCCCTTTCCCAATCTCATCCTTAACAGGGCCAGTATGGAAACTATCAGCAATAAAATAAAGGACAACCACCTGTGTTAAATTTGTTTCAATATTTATGTCCGTCTTTTGAACTCAGATGTACGGGCAGCTTTTGATTAATCGTAATATGTTGGTTACTCCCTTAGCACAAAAGGAGCATCTGTATGTGAAACAGTGTTCATTTCATGCTGGATATGAAGCAGTGCATTACTGGTAACAAGGCAATGCTTTGATATGTTTTGGTCCTGTGTAAGTATTGTATGTTGATACAATGCAGAGGTTCTTATTTCTCCCATGTTTGCACCCACTGGATGTTTTCAACTAGCTTTAGAGATCACTTGTTCAGGTGCCCAGACCCCACCCTCTCCCCGTTCAAAACAAGGCCATAATATTCTATAACAAATCCAGTGTATAGCTGAGCTTGTCCTCATTTTCTGGTCAGGCAAGCAGGGTAGTTGGTTTCTAATGAGAAAACACCATCCCAAATATGATGCAATATACATACAACACTTTTCTTGTATGAACTTCATTCTGAACTCCCAAGATCATAATTGGACCATATTAAGGATAAGCACATTTTTACATTTAAAGGGTTTGTATTCTGAGCATACATACTAGAATGTATGGAACAGTCCTTTCTTTGTTCAGCAGTAATTAGGGTTACCTTAAGGTACATCACTTTCCAGGAGTGGCTTACTAGTGGTGAGTTACCACTGGGAATTATTGCTGGACTAACTTGGGAATCTACCCTTTATGATGAGATGCCCTTATAGTCCATCCTAAGCCAATACCAAAGAAACATTAAACTGCAGAAATATTGGAAGTAGTTCTAGGCTGAACTTGAGGAACACTCAAGTTTTGTTAGTACTGGAAATTTGATAATGTGTTTAGTTAGTGTGGAACGAAACATACTGGAGGAATTAATAATACCTGCAGGAAGATGGAATCCACCCAAGGGGAAACATTGACTTCATTGGGAAAGTGCTGAGCATATCCTTGAAATCAGTCAGATGGCTGAAGGTGCTTAGGGCTGCAAGCCTTACAAGAAAAAAAATTTAGAAAAAAGGGCCACAACTCCCAGCATGCTAGGCTTTGTGGGCCTTTTTTTCATTGTAGGATTGTCCCTTAAATCTAAAAGGATCTGCATCTTTTAACCTTTAGAGCCATAAACTGCTCGCATGGGACCTTTGAATCTGCTTATTCAAGCTATGGATAAAACAAACATTAAGATTTAAGCTATCAGAAGTCAAAATAGCTTCCTATCCAGCCCCAAATGATAAGGCTGAATCAGACAAAACCCTGTAACACACACACTGACAACTGTGCAGGATTCAAAAGCTGGCAGAGAGTTGGCAGCTCATTTTCTGTTTCCTTCGCTGGCTTATATTTTCTATCAGAGATACAGACAGGAACCAGCCTCCCCACGGCCTGGTGGTTTCCCAATATGTTAGACATCTGTTCTCATAATTCCCAGTCAGCAGGGCCTTGTCGGTCAGGAATTCTGAGAATGGCAGTCTGAAGTCTCTAGGCAAAATGAAATACTGGATTTTTATTTTAGCAAAATCCAATAACTTCCTTCTGCTCCTTAAGAGGTTTTTTTTGGCGGGAGGGGGGGCGGTTTCAGCTCTAGTACTTTCTACCATGGTTCAAAAACAGTAAGTTCCTTTTGATCAGATATTCAGATCAAATGGCCAGCCTTTCATATCTATCAGACTGGAGCTAGAGAGGCTGAGAAAAGGAGTGCAGGAGTGGTGGCATTTAACAGGCATCAGTGTGATAAACTGGTCCTGCCTTGGTCATGTTGGGCTTCTGGCATCTCAAAAGTGTTGCCCCTAAAGATGTAAGAAAAAAGAAGGGGAAGTTTGTTCAGGATAATTCTCTGCAGCAGCTCCCCCCCCCCAAAAAAAAACACCATTTGACCAAGCCCAGCACAAAAGTTGGAAATACATAAGGTAAAAAAAATCAGTGTGTAAGCTTTCAAAATCTGCAGATTTTGTCATCAGGTAAGAGGGTTCAAAAAGAAGGTAATGTAATAAAGGTGTTACCTGTATGCATTTTGGCATTTTTCTTACACCCAACTTAGCCATCTTTGTTTTGGGTATCTGTTGTAACAGAAAGATGTTGCTTGTTTGTTGTACTGTGCATTAAAAAAGTAAGAACCTAAGATGAGTTTGTATACAGTCTGGAGAATTGCAGGATGAGGGTATGCTGTGGCAGAGAGTGTGATTTAATACATGAGGCTGTTATAGTCTCTGCCAAATACATCTGCCCCTTGTATGAAAAGCTTTTTGTACCCGATATAGCAGGCAAAATGCAGAGACCTTCCAACCACAAACCTGTATTCTGTTGGAATGTAAGAATGCAGTCTACTGTAGCCCTTATGGAATATTTCAGTTGTTTTTGTTTGAATTTCTAAATGCTTTAGATTTCATGCCAAGATTCCATTCTCCAAAAACTCTGGCCTTCCAGAAAAATACAATTATTAGCCTTAAAATCTCAGTGTTAGATGTTTAGAGAAATACACAGTGTTAGATCCATTTATATGTAAGTTCCAATAGCAGGGCAATTTAGATATAATTTCAAAGTATATAAGGGATGTTGAGGTGTTGTGTCAGATTTTTCTCTGCAAAAATATTTCAGGATTTATATCTTAATCTTCTTAAAAGAAATTGAAAGTAGTTACAAAAATTGTAACAATGAACAATAAAAATATTCAACAGTGGCAAATTTAAAAGGCAGCAATAAAAACCTTCCAATCATTCTAGCTTTATTGACAACCACCCAGCATACACGAAATGAACACAACCCCAAGAGAAAGACAATGGACTTTTGTCTAGGTGCTCATTAAGTGAAACAATAATTTATTTCCCTGGTTATTTTTGTCTTCCATTTTCTAAAAGCCTCGTTTCATTAGGGCTCCATTGCCAACTCTGGTGTGTCATATGGGCTGATGTTTCTTGACTGCTTCAGTGTACCTATTTGGTTGTACCTGCAGAGGGAGGACACCCAAGCCATGATGCAGAATAGTGAGAAATTGTATCTGGTGAGAGTCAATGCAACAGAAGCCCGCGTTGCTCTGAGGTTTGGCCAACAGTCACTGGAGTGGCTGGACTCATAACATGACAGTCCACACTTATAATTACAGATATGGGTTGAGCATGGGCTGTTACAGAAATGTGTATTTTTGTTACGTGAACTCAGACATGCCAACTAACAATGGTTTGCTAGCCCTGAATAAGCCACAAAGGATACCCATGATTTGTTGGATTGTCAGTTCTACCCTTTGTAGTTAACCTACTGTAATGTGTAGCTGGATTCACGCCGCACAGTAACGTCTGTGGCAATCCATAGGCCACCCACACTCGGCCTTGAGCGTGCATTGTTGTGTTGTGTAAATGTACTCTATGTACTCTGGACTGGTTCACATAATCATCAGTCCACGAACTGTTTTAGGGTTAACTCTTGCCCAATCCACCCTTAACAGCTTCACACAAAAGCCACTGCATCTGCCTACTATGGCTTAAATATTCAAAGGTGTGGCTGATGTGTCATAACCCACCGTGGTTTAAATAAGCCACAGTAAGCTTCAAACCCAGTCAGTGGCTGAGTTTACTGGTGGCTTCTTTTCCCTGCCCTCCCTGCGTATGTCAGTCATGCACATGTGATGCATGCACTCGGAGGGTAATCGGGCGACTTCCCATGTCTGAACTTGGCGAGGTGCATGATGGAGGTGGGTGGCTTCAAAACCATCTCAAAATCCTATGATAAGCCATAGCTTCTTGGGTAGTTTTGAAGCCACCCCACCAAACACCCCTCTGGGTTCAGACAGCCTGGGAAGCCACGTTGCACAAAGGAAATTCTGCAAACCATGCAGCTGGCACATGGAGAGCAGGAAAATGCAGCCATTTCCCCTTGTGATCTTGCAAACATGGTGAGTGTCACATCACAACTAACTGTAGGCTGCGGCTGCTTGTACTGATGCGCAGGGGAACGTGCACATCATTGCAGTGGGAAAACTTTCCTGAGCTGCCCTCCTAAACATCACTGGGGCAGTGTAAGAAAGATGACAACCTCCGTGTCAGAATTACAGTGAGCCAGAAAAAATGACCCAGCATTGCTCCTTACCAGCTTTGACATTTTGCTTCTCATGTGGTTTTTAGCCTTGCTGAAAATCTTTTTTTAAGACCTCAAGCATTTTAACAAGTAAAACAGCCACATCACATCAGTTGGAAATGTCTTACATTAAGAATTTCTTGAATGTTGTATATATACTGTATTTGAAAGAGCGCTTTGGAAATAGTTTGTACATTATTTCCTAATTTATACATGATTTTTAGTGTTAATATTTCTAACTGTTAATAACAAAATATTTAATGTGTTGTCCATTTTTATGTATTGATGTGGAAACAAAGGTGATGCCAGCATTTTGACTTTTTCATTATCTATATCATATTTTCTGTTTTGTAATACAGAATGTTTAAACATGTTTTAGGTTAAAATGAATTGATTGTGAAGCCATGTATTGGACTTTTTCGTATGAGCAAAAGACTTTTAAAAGGACTGGTGTAATCATGTTTGAAGTCTGTTTTTATTTGTTTTAATTGCAGATTTAATGAAAATGATACATCAGTCACACTGCATTTATACTCCAAAATATTTCAAGTAAAGATCATTGCATGAGGAAAAAAAATGTGTTAAATCTCAGTTTTCAACATTTCAGGTCTTCATTTTTCAGATCAGATTCTTTAGCTTTTTATTTTGCTAAAAGTATTATTAAAAGGCATAACTAATGAGCACACAGATGCTACATTTTCCCAAAGGTTGAGAATGGCAGCATGGATTCAGATAACTCAAGGGCAACTTTTCCTGTGGAGACAGTGTAAGATTATTTCACTGATTAGTATTCTCTGCCTTCCAGTCCAAAAAACTGCCAGTGAACTCACAATACAGACAAAAGCGATAATAAGGAATAACTGAAATTTTCACGGCATACACAAGTAGAAAATGTTTAAAGCAATATGCAGGAGTCAGCATACAAGCAAGACTTACTTGCAAAGGTATTTACTGGACAAAATGCAATTTGAAGATAGTTCTTAATGCAATTTGAAGATAGTGTGTTGACTTTCGTCTGAAAGGGAGACCCATCACCACCACTGAAAAGGCTCTGTTGCTGGCTGCCAGCCTGATCTTAACTAAGACTGTGGATAGAAACAGTCCTTTATATAATCTGGTTTTTAGTGCTTTAAATGTCAATAACAGCAGTTTGGATTCAGCCTGGAAACATTGACAGGATCTGTATAACATGAACAGACCAACTTCTTCCTGAAAGTCACATTGTGGGCCAATTCCAAGTAATTTTAAAGTCAGATCCACCTTGCACGTATTGCAGATCAACATGAATGCAGTTAACTCGCGAGTTCCACGCATGCTCGTTCCCCCTTTTCCTGTTGGATCCTTCTTAGCTAAACAATTGGGCCTTGCAGCTGGGAAAAAGCACATCTGGCTACTAACACCACCTGAACATCTAGCGATAACTCCAGTTCCGGAAGAACACCCATAATTAAATCTTCAGGTGGACTACCATTTCACCCAGAAAAACACCAAATACTTCTGTCAAAATCAAAACTTGCTAACAAGCACCACCTAGGTTTTGTTTGGATTAAATGTCAGCTCCTTTTGCCTTCATCTATGCCAAAATTGCCCCAAATCCAGTTTCCGCAGCTTCCCTAGGATTAGTTACTGAAAATTAAAAATAGGACAGCGTAATTGTAGTGTGTTATTAATGCCTCTGGATGACCTGTGGCCCCAGTTTTATGTAGATGTCTCCTATGCTCTTTAACAAGATGGAACCTTAAGGCACCCCATAGGTCAAAGGTTAGGGGATACAGTTGCAAAGGCGCACCTGACTCTTCGCAACTCCATGGACCACAGCATGCCAGGCTCCTCTGTCCTCCAGTATCTCCTGGAGTCTACCGAACCCCATGTCCACTACACCAGTGAGTCCATCCAGCCACCTCATCCTCTGCCATTCTCCTTTTGCCTTCATTCATTCCCAGCATCAGGGTCTTCTCCAGTGTCCCCTCACTTCTCATTAGGTGGCTTTAGCTTCAGCATCTGACCTTCCAGTGAGCAGTCAGGGTTGATTTCCTTTGGGGTCGATTGATTTGATCTCCTTGCAGTCCAGGGGACTTTCAAGAGTCTTCTCCAACACCACAGTTCGCATGCATCAATTCTTTGGCACTCAGCCTTCCTTATGGTTCAGCTCTCACAGCCATACATTGCAACTGGGAAAACCATGGCCTTGACAATATGCACTTTTGTCGGCAGGGTGTTGTCTTTGCTTTTTAGTATGCTGTCTAGATTTGCCACAGCTTTCCTCCCAAGGAGCAAGTGTCTTTTAATCCTCGGCTGCAGTGACCATCTGTGGTGGTCTTTCACTACTTCCATTTCTTCCTCTTCTATATGCCAGGAAGAGATAGGACCAGATGCCATGATCTTAGCTTACTTAATGTTGAGTTTCAAGCCAACTTAAGGGATAGAGTAGTCTTCCAGAAAAATCCATAACTAACAGTGCTCCTAAGTATAGGTCAAGCCAATTGATGAGAAGGAGAACTGGCAGCATTTGAAGATGGTATGGAGAAAATAAATCAGGAAAAAAATACCTTCCTTAGTCATAATGCTAGAACCCAACAGGGAGTGTTTGGCGATTCGGGACAGATGAAAGGAAGGCCGTCTTCACAAAGAGCATAGTTAAACTGGAATTTCACCTCTGCTGGATGTACTGCTAGCCACCAATTATTCATCCATTTCATTTTTATACCACCCAATAGCCAAGGCTCTCTGGGCCATTAACAAAAGTTAAAATTAAACATTAAGAAGACACACATTAATTTAAACAAAACTGTAATTGCAATCACAATAGCTGTGATCTAGGATAAAAGTGTAGCAGCAGACAGCATAAAATGAAATATATAAAAACAATGTTTAAAAGTTAAAACTATTACAATTCTGGGAAAATAACAAGTTCTTCACCTGGAGTCAAAAATACCAAGCACCAGGCACAACTCTTTAGAAAGCGCATTCCAAAACTGGGGTGCCACAACTGAAAAGCGCCTTCTCCCGATAGCCTCCTGCTTTGCTTCCTTTGAAAGGGGCTCCAGCAAAAACCCCCCAAAGATGACCTCCAGTTCCAGGTGCGCACACATGGGAGGACAAGATCCTTCAGATAACCTAGCCCCGAATATAAATTTGGACGGCTTTGAAGGGGCAATTGGGCAAATTCCTGGAGACCCTCGAGGGCTGCCAGTCCCGGTGGCTTGATGCAGCATTCCTGGGTACCCCAGTTGTTGGGGCACATGGGTGGGCGGTGCTGTTGCACCCATAGGCTGCTTGGGGGTTTTCTGTGGGCAGCCAATTGGCCCTTGTATGACCAGAAAGCTGGACTACCTGGGCCATGGCCTGCTCCAACAGGGCTCTTCTTAAGTTTTTAACAGGGTTTTGCTATCAGTAGCTCTATAGGATGAGGCAGCAAGGATAGAATCGGCCAAAGTGGCGCGCAGAATCTAAAAACTCGGCCACAAAACGGATATGACCCTTACGATAGCAAATGCCTCTTAGACCGGAAACAAAGAGGAAAGCCCCGCCCCACGACTGCGTTTCTCCCGCCTCCGACGCCTGCCCAGCCACTCATAGCGCCGCCGCTTCTTTCTCGCCAATCACATTCAAGCTGAGGCGGGGGAGGGAGAAGGAGCGGGACGCTCCGCAAGTGCGCAAGCGTACAAGCCACACCTTCCCGCGCCGCTTTTCGTCCTCTGCCTACCCAGCAAGACGGCTGCGCCTGCGCAGTAGCCACTGAGCGAGGCAGACAAGATCCGGGATTGATGACGTCCACTTTTGGCGCGCGGCTGTTACGTAAGAGCGTGTGACGCTAAGCCCACGAATGGGCAAGGCCTGTCAAATAATGGCTGCTCTAAGGGTAGGTGAGAGTATTGAGTGATTTGTATAGATTTATAAATATGTATTTCTGTCTCACCTTTTTCCCTTTTGTGAGGCAAGCTGGCGCATCTAAGGCTCCTTCTTCGCCATTTTAGCTCCATAACGACCCTAGGAGGAAGGTAAATCTCACTGAAACGCTGCTTTTTAAGAGTTAAGAATTCAAGCGGTATTACCTCTGTAGAGTTTAAAACATAAAGAAAAGAAAGTAAAAGTACATGATTTCAAAAAGGATGAGGGCATGGATGGAGGCGGGGCGCGGGAGGATGGTCAGGTGGAGAAGGAAAGGATGTTGGAACGGGAGCCTGCCAGATGGAGGGGACAGGCAGCAAGGCGGAATGGAAAACTCGAAAAACTTGCCCCAGAGCAGCCTTCCCCAACCTGGAGCTCTCCAGATGTGCTGGACCAAATTCCCATGGTCCTTGAATTGGCAGTGTTTGCTGTGGAATTATGGGAGTTGTCCTGCAATGCGTCTGAGGGTGTGCCCAGAGAGTCTGTGTCTGGAGTGGGTGTTATTATCAGTGTCCCAAGACCCAGGATGCAGAAACCATTCTGAAACTTAGGAGGCTTAAGTCTGGTCAGTGTCCCGGTTGGAACTCCTTACTCCAGTATATGCAACTTGGTTCTGTGATGGAAGAAAAGGAAACAAATGCTTGATCAAGTACTTAATAAAGTATATGTGGTGGTGATGGTGCAGCTACTGTAGATATAATTTAAAATCCATTTATATTTTTTCTAAGTTATCATCGCTGCTAGATAATGGAAAGGTGGGATGTAAATACTTCCATAAATGCATGTATTTATGCTTGCTTTAAAATATGCACACTCTAGTTTGTTATCCATTAAGGTCTACGGATTGACTAAATAACAGTATAGTGCAGTATAATTAAGAATGCAGTACAGTGGCAATAGCTCTCATTCTCTGTGACACAATATATAGCTACAGAGAAAGAGGGACTCTTTCTACATTAGTTCTGCTGAACAGGTGCAAAATTGATTTATGTGTGGGTGCTGATACCTTTTTTGAATGGAGAGATTAAATTGTATGTTCCTTGGAGCAAAGGCCTGCCTTACTTCCTTTTAAAGGTCATGTTTTTGCGTGATATGCTGCTTAGATCAGTGGTGCTATGTAAAAAATAATAGTGAACCACTCTAGAAAGCAACTTCTAGCTGAACCTGAAAGGTATGATTGAGTCCTAAATGTGTACAACCTTCCTGAATATATAAAGTCCAACTCCCTCCTTGAGATCCCATTTGTTTAAGCACTTACAGAGCAATCCTGTACATGTCTGCTCAGAAGAAAATTTTATAACATTCAATGGAGTTCACTCTCAGGTTAATGTATCTGTGATTGTAGTCCGTAGTGGACCCATAAGTGTTGTTAGCGCTGCCATATGAGTGAATAATAATGGCTGCTGGGTGAGGGTGGTAAATACAGTTGATGGAGGTTTAAGTAAAGAAGACTTGGACAGCTAATAAGCTGCAATATGAGTGTACTGCAGGGAAGATAAATATCATACACCAGTCCTATACATCAACAAGTATTTCACTCCTGTGTATACAAAAATATCATGGGTGTGTAACTAAATGTAGTCTGTGAATCAGCACCTGTTTATAATTTTATTAATTAGAAATAATTTTGTCTCATATGTTTCCCTTGGTCTGAGGCACTGAAGGTGGGCTATAATAATGCTAGTCTACTTTGCAGGTTTTTAAGGATTCTGGGGATATTGTATCTTAGGATGCAACTCTGTGTAAGTTCAGAAGAAATTCCTATCAATCCCAGCATTCCCCTGCCAACTGTTGGGTATTGTAGGATTTTATTTCCCCTAAATGTGCATAAGATGCCACTTTTAAGCAGTGAGTGTGTTCAGTAAAAGTACTATATGAACACTAAGTATTTATTTGTAAAATATCTTATGATGGGGTGTGTGTTGTGTTCATATGGAACCTTTTTGGTTAGGGTGTCTGCATACTTAGATGCTTTGCATCCTTGCATGTCATGACCGGAGCTGGGGGTCAGACTAGATAGCCCAGGAGACCCCTTCTGACTCACTCTTTTCTCTGTTTCTACAATTTCTGCTATGCCTTTCTGTGGAGAGCTGCTTTTGCCTTCATTATAACAATATCCCTGTTTGCAACAGCTTACTATTCCCCATAGAATTAATTGTCAAGTATGGGGGAAAAAAGTACAGGGATTTACTGAGCCACATCAAGAAGGGGCACCCTTTCCCTAGTGGGCTCACCAATTGTGAATCAAGCTTTCCCTTCACAGCCCCATTCTGCGTTTTTCATAGGCTTACTTGGAATTGACACAATGGTCTGGTTCAGACAGCTCTTTAAACCCGGGGTGGCTGCATAGTGTGCTTAACATTTCCTGGGGCTAGTTTCTGATAACAGCTAGCACAGTGGGGGTCCTAAGGCACCCCAGCCTCCTCCTTCCCCCTCAGTCCTCCAAGCAGTATCCCAGCGGAACAGAGTGGGGATGACAGCTGCCAAGAAGTGTTCAATCACACTTTTGAGCAACTGTCGAGGGCTGAGTTATTCCACACCACTCCTTAGCTGAGTGAAGGGAAAGTACATGCCACCTGCCTTCCCTTCCCTTCCCTTCCCTTTGCTGTGCTCAGGGGCAGTGCAGCACACAACAAGGTGAGAGGGAAGGAGGCACTTTCCCTGTGGGCTTACTCCTGACTAGAGCTGGGAAAACCTCCTCCCTGTTTTTGCTTCATGGGCCATCCACAGGTGTCAAGCAAAGGTGTGGGGGGAAACAGGGAAGAGGGGAGGCAGCTTCGGTGGGCTAAAGAGCCCCACCTAGTAAAGGCAAGGCAGGGGCGCTTTCCCCTAGGTCTGCCCAGGAGGAGGCATCTCTCACCAGTTGCTGCTGCAGCTGCAGTTTAACGGGACTTACTCTTTTGCTTTACTCCCTTGAAACAAAGGTAGCCTAGTGCATCTCTTTGCCTCACCCTCACCACCGCAGTCCCTTTGGCTGCAGCAGGGAGCAGGATCCAACCCCTTGGTCTGAATTCCTCTCCAGCAAGCAAGGACTAGTGGCTGGTCCCCTGTCGGTGCCCGAATGGAGTTTGAAGAGGGGATGTATGGCAGAGCCCAGTGGCTCCCATCCCATGCACCTGCTGATGCTGCTGGGTGTGGGAGAGCACAATCTTGTTCTCCCAGCATTGGCAGGTGTGTGGAGGGGAAGCCAAGGACAGGTGCCAGTAGCCCTGGCTGGCGCAGCAGACCTTTTTGGCACTCCTCAGAAGGGCCTGTGCTAGTTTTTGGCTCTACTCTGGCTTGTTGTGTCACCAAGAATGACCAACACAACCAGCCATGGGGGCTTTACTAAACCCCAGGACGGGTTATAAGCATTGTGGGCTCAGGTGACAGCCTTTACCTGTTGTGCAGACCCAGTTAACATTGGGAAACTTTTATATCCTAGAAAATGAACTAACTGGATGGCTGTTTCACTGTCAGACTGCACTAAGCCCACATATTTAACATGACAGTTTGATTTTGCAAATATTTTTCTGAGTGGGATGACAAAGATGAGCATTTGGATGAATGAGTTATCTTTATTGTGTACATAGAATGGCAAGCCTGATTTGGGGGAGTTTTGCAAGAGCGTTTGTTCAAATGCTCTTGTGGGGGCAGCAATTCATCAAAGTTAAGTGTGCTTGAATTTCTAACCTTTGCAATGACTGCAAATCAGAAAAGAGAGCAGCTGTGCGTGATTGCTCTTTTCAAGAAGAAATTTGTGGTTAAATGTGTTACAAACACATTGTTTATGTTCTCCATGCATGCTATTTGGGATATCTCAGTTACCTTACACTTTGCATTGCTTTTTTTCTCCTCTCCTAGGCAAATATGTTACAAACAACTATCAGAGTTTGGCTGGAAAGCCAGCAGAGACTGGCAAATTCATCTATACACAATTGCCTATTGAAAAGTCAAGTTAAAATCTGGCACAGGAATCTTAGCACAAGTGGCACAAGCTTTTCGAAGTCTCAACGGCTTAGATGTAAAAGGAAGATTTCGGAAAGGAAATTGGTAAAGTCTTAAAACATTTTACTTGTAAATACATGATCTATATGCCACTGAAAAACTTTTCTTGCCTCTTCTTACTGACCTTGGAGGACCCCTGCTGCTTCTTTCCTATAATACACATTTAAGACAAAATGCCTACAAAATTAAGTTAAAAAGTTGTAATTAAGCAGTTGTCCAGATGCTGGCATTTTCTTTCTTACAATCTGTTTTGGTGATGGTGGACAATATGTGAGCCACTCAGTCACGTGGTTCTCAATGTATACTTTTTTCCTTATGATTTTCTTTCAATAGTTCCAGGTTATGTAGTCATAAAAGTAATCTTGCCCTGCCTTTTTCATTAGATGACAGTCTTTCTCCAACCTTGGAACAGGGAATCCAAAGATCTGTGACCACTCAGACAATCCCAGGGGGCATAGGATCATTTCCTAAAGTTGCAATCCTGTCCCTGTTTGCATCCTGTTTATTGTTGTAAGCCGCCCCGAGGCTTCGGCGAATGGGGCGGCATAAAAATGTTTTAATAAATAAATAAAATATAAGTCCCACTGAATTTTGGTGGCGCTTTCCTCTTAATTACTTAATTGGATTGAGCTGAGTATTACCATTGCTGGTTGACTGAATTTATACCTCATTCTTTCTCCCAGGAACTCTGAGAGAGTAGGAAACACCCTTTCTTCCTCCTAATTTTTGTTCTTACAATTTTATGAAAGAATTCAGACAAGGAGATGATGACCAACCTAAATACAACCAATTGGTTGGTGGTGGAGCAGAGTTTTTAGCCACTCTCTCACATCTAGCACTCTTGAGTATAAGCAGAAAAATAACATGTTCTGAATGTCACTTGATATTAGCTGGTTTTATTGCATTAAGTCTGTTGTTTGATGGATGGTTTTTTGAATATGTGCTTGATTTACCAGATTTACCTATATTTAATTATTGCTGCAATGCATATTTCTGCTATTCTTGTTAATATTTCATTGTGTTTCAGTGGGCATTAAACACTTCTATGCAATGAAATTTGGAGTAGTCTATTTCATATAATGAAAGAAATGACTGTAAATTTATATGACCAGTTTAAGTCAAAAATACATGCATTCTAGACTTTTTCCCCCAATTCAATGAGATTTTTCAGTTATTTGATGGTAGATGGTCTTTTGCATCTTGTATTTATGAATGAAGGAACAAGACTGTGACCCATCCCATCCCCAGGATATTTAGTATTAACTGGCGCGCAATCCGAAGATGGGATCAATTATTCAGAAAGCCTGAGTATATGCGATTCTCTGTTCTGAGGTGAAATAAGTCGCTTGGTAGGGAGAAATAATGGTTGAATGAAACGCTGTTGTGCAAAGGGAGGGGTCCCTCATAGAGCATAAGTTTTTGTGTTCTAGCTATGTGAATCCTTTTGGCTACAACGCGCATGGAAAGGGCAGGCATTTCTTGTACCCTGTGGAAGTACTATAGAGCAGTGTGCAGTTTTAACCACTTGGGGATGCTCTGTAAATTTGGAATAGACTATATTTCTTCAATGTTTTCACAGTTAAGTATGCAGCTGGTCATCTGCATTTTGTTCATGCACCAAGCCTGTCATTCCTGTTAATGTTCAAAGTAGACCTTTCTCAGCAGCATTTTCCTAACTGGTCACATGACAGTGCCCTTCCAGCTGCTTGGGCTTTAATGAGCAAACTAGAGTCCTTTGCTGTTATCATAAGTTTAGGCTATTGCCATAAACTGCACATTGATTTGAAGAATGTCAGGCTTTTCTAAGGCTCTGAGAAGGCAGCAGTTCATTGGTTATGTTGTAACACTGGAAGAGCTGACCATGAAATCAAGAATTGTTTGTTTCCTGCGGAGTCAATGAATTTGACCATGAACTTTCTTTCTCTCCATCTTTCAGGAGAGACAAAATAGTTAGATAAATATTTTCTTTAAATGCTGACTACTGTTTTTTTACATGGCGCCTAGATTTATTCAGAAAGCACTGAAAAAAATGTGAGCTGTGTCCTTTTTTCACTGTGTCCCTTAACTATGAAATATTACAGTGGTCTTGAACTTCCTAGCTTCAAGGAACTCTTTCCACATCAGCATCTGCTGAAGAAGTCTTCCATGTTTGCTGTGGAGCTGTAGCCCTGTGTAAAGAATTTCTGGGCATGTTCTGAGTTCATATGAGCCACTGGGCCAAACCTCTTGAGTTTCACCATTGCCCTGTAAGAATTCAGAGCACGCTGTTGAACAGTGGTGGGCAAGCTGCCTTTCATGCAGATCTCTCTGCCATCAATTATCAGGGCTTCTTTAATGAAAAGATAAGTTTATAAGCATCCCCCCAAACAGTTTGAAAGTCTTTATGCTGGAATAAATAAGCTTCTATCATCCATAGCCAGTGATGAGTTCTGATGGGAGTTGTAGGCTAAACATTAGTTACCCACACTCAAAACAAGGTATATAATTGTGAAGTATGTTGTATGCTGAAAAAGGTAACCCAGGACAAATGAGGCCTGCCATATTTGTTCTTGGATTCTTCTCATAAGCTTGAAAGGAAACAGCTTGGAAAATAGGGACCAAGTACATTTAGGAAACTGTTTTATGCCAGGTCAGGCCATTAATTCGTCTGTTACCTACAGTGACTGGAAGAGGCTCTTCTGGATTTTATGCAGGGGTTTTCTTCAGCCTTACCTAATGTCAGGCATTAGACCTGGGAATAAGTCTGGGCCAAAACTGATTCTCACCGTATTTGAGGGGTCATTAGCAGGGGAGAAACCCTTCCTGAAGATCAGGAGGAAGGCGAAATATTCAGGTGACAGGTCACTATTCCAGTGCAGAATTCTAGCACTAGGTAGTCCAGAGTTGTTGCTGTTTGTTTAAAAAAAGCCAAGCTAGGATTTGGCTAATGAATTGGCTTCTCATCCAGAAAATGGAGCCACAAATGTTTCTAAGAACAATGGTTGTGATGAAAATCCTTGGATTGGATTAGTGCTTCTCCTCATCTGTGGCTACAGCCTTGATGATGAAGGTTGCATATTAAGTATAAATGCCAAATGAGGTTATTCATCTAACCATTACAATTAAGGAAACCTCTCTCTCTCTTACCAAATTGAGTTGAATTCTTAGTGTTTTTAGAAATGAAGACTTCTGAAACTTTGAGCGTCTTAGAATTGTCCTAATTTGCTTTTCTGAATATTGTTACTCTCTGTTTCAGACCCGATACTTTGTAGATCACCGAAAGGTGCATATGATAGGAGGCAAAGGAGGTGATGGTTTTGCCTGTTTTCTCAGTGAACCTAGAAAAATGTTTGGAGGTCCTAATGGTGGAGATGGAGGAAATGGGGGGAATATTATATTGAAAGGTAAGAAGGCAGTATCTATTATATGAATCTTTTCAGTTTGAAAAATGTCCTTTTGTAAAAATTTTTCAACTTGTAGCTCATGTCCCCCATTCTTTACAAGGTGAATTTGGGAGAACAGAACTGCTGTTGGGGGGCAGGGCATGCACATGCATGCCCGAGAGCTGTCTGAAAGCGAGAGTGTACATTCTCACTCAGACCCTTTCCTACCGCTCCCCATACCACAACACAAAGTGTCCATTGCCGTTGTTTATGTTGTCTGCTGCTCATCTAGAGTGGCCAGACCTTTGGGATCAGAAGCATTTGTGTGGCAGCCAACACTACCCACCAGAAGACAAAAAAGTTCTCTTGCTAGTCCCAGTGCAGGAGGATTTCATTCAGAAAAGAGCTCCCCGTGGAATCATCGAAGTGGGTAGCTACTTGTTATTAAATAGTGCTAACTGCTTAGGACAGAATGTCAGAATCAGAATCTGAATAATACATAATGAGAGTCAAATTTACTTTGAATTGTTAATACTTGCCGTAGGTACATACAAGATATTATAGGACACATACAAGATTTATTCTGCCTCTTAGATACTTTTATGTATAAAAGTCAGTAACATTTTCTCTCCCGAAAGCAAAAGCTAGCATTATTATACCTTTTATTATTTTTCCAGAATGCACTTCAGTATTGTGATAAGACTTGCATTAAACCCTGAATAGAATAAGTTCTTGAGAGGCAATACCAAAAGTACTTGAAAAGATCCTTGAAACTGCATACTGGTTTTCCATCAGAGTTTCACAGAAACTGAGAGAAGTAACGGCTCTTAGAGTGCTGGGTGCTCAGAATAAATCTGGGCAGACGAAAGGCATTTGGTCCAATGCATTAAGGAAGCGGCTTCATGCGTTGTAAACCTTGGGTTTCATCCAGTAACACCACTGTGTGTATTCTGCTGCACCCACAGATTCAACCTCTAGAACAACAGGAGAAACACTACAGAAATCAGTGGAAATACTTGTCTCTTGAATAGGGCAAGTCAGTGAAGCCCCTTTCTGCAAGTTCCATTGAATTGCCCCATTCAGAAACTAGCCATTCCGATGACCTTTTGAACAGCTAGCTTCCTGTTGTACCAATGATAGGGCCTTGCTAGCACAAACGTGGCATTGGGTACCATCCATCATGCACCAACGCATTTTGTGACAATTTACATGTGGACCTCTCAGGATTAATTGCATGGAAGTGCCTTCCATTAAAATGTACGTGTATTGCATACTAAAATCATCCTCAGAATGTTGCCCTGATACAAGGCCTGTTGCGTAAAGTGATGTTTAGTCCAGTTCTCTGCATCTTCACTGAGAAATAGGCTTCCCTGTGTTCACCAAGGCTTGCTTCCACAAAAGTGTGCATCTGATTGATTGCATCCTTACAAGCTTGCTGCTGAGGTATACAAATTTCTATGTCTATTGTATATCCAGATTAAACAGTGTCTGCAGTAATGGCTGGGTAGGAAGTTTGCCCATTTGGTAAGCTCATTTCCCAGATTTATTTAACTTCATGGTAATATTGTTAGGAAACCAAATTAGGCATTTAAATCAAAGTTCCTGTGATTTTTTTTCTGCTTGGCAAAAGATTTGGAGAGGCAATTTCAGCACAAATGAAAAGTGAACTAATCTTCTTGAAGTGTTCTTTCCTTCTTGTAAAAGGAAACAGTTCTTCAAAAATGGATGACTGAATCTCTTATGAGATGTATCCATAGTTGTTAGATGTTTAGTGATTATTTTATGGCAATATTTGTCATACTTATATTTTAGGTTGTTTTCCAGAAACTCTCTTAAGCTTTTTATATAACATGTGTAGTAATCTTAGTTCCATTTTGTTGTGAAATGACATTTTAAGTAGCTTAGCAACACTAATTACAATATTATTTAAGCACCTAAAAAGCTAAGCACTGTACTGAATACATAAGAAAACAGGTCCTGCCCAAATAGGCTTGTAATCTTGTGCAGACCAAAAAGAAAAATAATTACAACTGGAGGAAGAATAAGGAGAATCTCAAAATGATAAGTTGGCCGTAAATCAGCTTAAATAAATGAATCCTGAAGCTTCTTTAAATGAGGGAATAGAAACAATTAACCAACCACTAGCTGGCAGTGAATTCTATCAGAAGAGCAATAAAAGGAAAAAGGACAAAGTTGAAACCATTGAAAGTATGAGATTGAACAAGCAAGGGGAAACTAGCAGAACACAATGATTTTTTAAAAATGCTATTATAGAAACCAAAGATAAACAATAAATGATGCTGTACTTGTTCTTAAAGTAATGATCCTGCTAAGCCAAGAGAATCTGTTTCAGTTAATGAGGGGGTAGCATTTTTCAGCCCTGTTTGCAGCCCTTCAAAAAATTCCCCCAACCATCTAGATCCAATTTTGAGAGGGAAAGTAGGGGAATAGGCAACACAGAGATACAGGCACAATTGGCGTCAAGGAAAGTGCCTTCTACCTGCATGGAGAAATTTTGAGATCCAAGTCAATATCGTAGACTGAATGTGAAGTGGAAAAGTTTGCCGCTACAAACAAATCAAAATAAAAACACCCCTCTACCACCAGCACTACAATCTTACTTGCTTGCAGAAAGAAAAAAAATATGATGGGTAGCGGAATGCAGGAGATAAATATAATTTTTAAGATGGGAATAGGGATGTCTGATTAACGGTGCAATTCTACACGTTAGAAAAAACCCTATTGAAGAGAGTGGGGCTTACTCCTATGCAAGTATGCAAAGGATTGCATCCTAAAAGACTCTTATACTAACCTAAACAGCAAAATGAAAGAACAAGCCAAAGCAGATTCACAGTCTATAGCAGTGATGGCAAACCCACTAATTTATCGCAAAGTGCCAACACTGCAATAAAACCTGAAAACTGAGGTTTTAGTTTAGAAAAAACAACTCACAGCCAGTCCAAGCCAAAAATATATATCCTTGGCAGCACACTGACCAGCCATGCGAAAGCTTGAATGAGTCACAGCTAACGAGTCATGGCTCCTGACATCATCGCCTGGCGCCGCTACTCCTTTCTGAGCATGCGCATGGCCCTTATGTGTGCTGTTATCCGACGCGCGGCTGCTGGAGCAATGCTGGGGCAACTTGGCTCGCGTGCCGACAGAGAGGGCTCTGTGTGCCCACTGTGGCACGCGTGCCATAGGTTCACCACCACTGGTCTATAGGAAGGAATTAACGAATGCCAGTGTTCAATTCTGAAAGTGGATTATATAGAATAGATACTGTACGATTATGACAGCCCCCCTCCCCCTATGCTGAAGGCTCCAGTGAAGTGCTGTAGTGACCACAAGCTGATAATCTCACATGATTTCCAAGGCATCGTTTTCAAATGCATTCTAGTGTATATTAATATTAGCACCTTCCCACTTCTGCAGCAGTTGAGTAGTAGAGCGCTGTGTAGCTCCTAATTTTACCTTGTTGGAGCATTAACATAATAGTATTATTTATTATACTATTATTAATATATAATATTAATATATTAGTATTATAGCCTAAGTAGACATAACAGACTTGAAATCCATGATGTATTTTCCTCTTCATCTCTCATTTCAGTTATGTGCAAAAAAACCCATGTGCATTTAAAAAAAATCTTCAATCTAAAATGCCACGAAAACACTACATCTAAAATAAAAACTTATAAAATTAAGTATACAATTTAAATAATTCTTTAAAATACTGTGCCCCCGACTCCCAGGACCAAAGGATACATGTTACAAATTTAAAAACTCATTCAAACATTCTTTCAGGACATTTCCCCTTTTCAAACCTGCAATGATTCTTTTGACAGTTCAAATCCTTTCCATTTTTTAAAGACATACTCAATAAATATACCCCAAATTTCATTAAACTTATTTTTCTTTATATGTCCTTTTCTCACTTTAATAACACAGGTTAATTTATCACTAATAGCTATATTCCAATTCTTAGCTATGGTTAATCTCAGAGCAGTTATTAAATTTGTTACTTATTATGCCAGCTCCATTGTGTCTTACCAAATATTGAAAGTATTGCAATCTCAGGGCATATTTCTGTATTTAAACTTAATATTTTACTACATTCTTTAAAAACCTCTTTCGAAAATTTTATTATATAGTCACATTCCCACCATATATGGAAATATATGCCCACTTCACAACCACATCTCCAGCATAAATTGGAATATTTGTTATCTATATCAGTTCAAAATATTCTGTTCATTTTCAGAATATTGAATCTTGTTTTACAGTGGATCAGCAAGTCAAATCCTTGGTTTCTGTTCTTCCAGTATATAGAGGTTACTCTGGAGAAAACGGTGGAAGTAAAAACTGTTATGGAGCTGCTGGTAAAAATATTTACATCAAGGTAGGCAGCCAATGTTTATTATTAGTTTTCATTTCATTTATTCAATTAATGGGTCCCCCTATAGCTGAAGTTCTCATGGAACAGTACTTCATGAAGAGAAGCCCAGTGACAAAACCACATTATAAAATGCATTAAAATACTGTTTTCAAAAGCAGCAACAAAAAAATCAGCATTTGATTTAATGTTTTCAGCAGACATAAAAACATAGAGAAATTTATTTTAAAATCATTTGAGCATATTAAGAATAAAGTGAGCATCATTTTAAATACTTGTAAAAGATCTGGGAGAATTACAAAGATTTTCAGCTGGTGCCAGAAAGTCAACACAGTAGGTGTCAGTCCAGCTTCTCTAAAGAGGGCATTCCACAATGCGGAGGCCACTGCAGAAAAAGACCAGGCACAAGTAGCCACCAAACCAAACTGGAGCAGCAGGGAAGCACTCCAAAGAAGCCCTTAAAAGACATTCTTAGGATACAGGCAGGGACATGTGGGAAGTCGTGATTTTTTAGATATTCTAAATCACTTATGACCTAACTCAGTGGTTTCATGTAAATATTAAATAGCACATGAGACGAGATGGAATCTTGTAGGGCCCCAAAGCAGGGATGCCATGGAAGCAGAAATCCCCTTCAGTTACGGGTGCAACCACTTCCAAGCCATACACCTTCATCCACGTCAGAGAGGATGCTATGGTCAATGGTATGGAAAGCCACTGAGAGGTCCAGAAGACTCGGCAGGGTTACATTCCCTTTGCCAAAGGTTAGTCTACAGCAGGGGTCTCAAACTCGCGGCCTGCAGGCCAATTGCCGGGATGGGTGGGGCACGGGGGAGGGGCCCTGCGGCCTTCAAAGCGCCAGCGGCGCCCGGGCCGGCCGTGGGATGAGCGGCCCACCACCACCGCGGGGGTAGAATCCTTGATGTGGCCCAGCCTCACCCAGACTCTACTTCCAGTGGCCCCCAGGTAAGTTGAGTTTGAGACCCCTGATCTACAGTGTTATCAAAGCGCTTTCTGTGCCAAATCCAGGCTACACCTCAACTAAACTGGATCTAGGAAATGCATTTGATCCATGAATGACAAGATCTGATCAGCTACACCTGCTAAAGCACCTTGCCCGGGAAAGGGAGGTCAGGCACTGGCCTATAAATATCACTGCATAGGTACACAGGTGTTTCTCCACACCCATGCCCTGGCATGGTTTAATTGCTACCTTCTTTGAGGAGGCTGGTACTGCTCTGTCCTATAGGTAAGAATTTGTAACCTCGTGAGCCAAGCCTGTTTTTCTTTCATTTCTGGATGCAATGAGCTACATGGGAACAGGTGACTGGGCAAAATTTGCCAAGCACTTTGTCCATGCACTTGAGTCCTAAAAGACTGAAAAATCATCCAACAATGTCTGACCAGATGATGCCCTGGATATGTTCACAGATTGAATTGTCTGAGCTGTGGATGGTGCATATAAGCTATTTTTGTCCTCAAAATGCTTTGCAAACGTGTTCCAGCATGCTACCATGGGTTCTATCAGATCTACCACTGGGGCAAAACCACTCAGAAATGTTCTGCTGGTGACACTGAGAGGCAACAACAGTGAATGAGAAAATTTGCATCTTTACCCTCAATACTGCCACAGAGTAGGCTTGATCAGGGTCAAGATGTGTTTTCTTTTACCGACATTCCAGTTATTTCACTTGTGTCATGTCTTCTTTTAATTCAGTCCAGCTCTTGCTAGGCAACTGTAGGGACAAATACAGCAGAGAAATCTATTTTGCGGGCAGGTAGGAGATTTCCAGAGAGAGGTCTGAACAGAGGCACTGCAAAGAACATATTTCTGGAAACCAGTGGAATTGGAAGCCCAGTCCAGAAGGAGAGGCAGGTGGAAGTCCAGGATTAGTAGCACAGACGAGCCAAAGGCAGAGTAACAGTAAATTGGAGCTGAAAATAATGAAATGATACCAGTAGCTTTCAAGTTATGCTGGAAGGGCTGATACGGAGGTAGAGCTACCAAGGTTCCGCTGCGTCACATCAGAGGCTTGTGTCAGATGCCTTTCTCCTGATGAGAGCCTTTGCTCATGGGGAGGCCCCTCCTGTAAGGGAGTACTCCTTCGTCTGGCCACCATCCTATCATAAATCTTAAGTCATTGGTGATCTTGGGGGCCAGGAGTGGCCCAACATCACCCTGTGCTTCAGAAGCAGCTCTTTCCACCCTTTAAGGAGGGCTGGGACCCTCCCAGTCAGCCCAGGATTCCCTGAAGCAACAGGTTCTTTGGGGATATCTGACTCCGGAGGGCATAGATTATCCTCTGAAGAGGATTCCTGCAAGTGGAGCATGGCACTTCACTGCTCCCAACTCTGTGAAATGGGCTCTGCAAAGTAGAAGAGGGCACTCAGAAGTGACCATGTCTTGCTCATCTCTGTATTCCGTGGTGTCCGTGGCTTCAACAGGAGCAGCAGTCATACAAAACAGCAAGTCCCCCAGAGCCATCTGAAGTTCACTGGAGTCCATTAGACTCTGGAGGCAGGGTCCCCACCACACACTGCAAAGACAAATAGGCACAGCAAGCCCAATTGCTATAGGAAGTGGTGTGGCCATGACAAGGGGGTAGATAAAGAATCCTCCGCCTTCAGGTCAGCAGCTTCCTGCCCAGTCCAAAAAAAAAAGTATACCGAGTGTGTGCAGCTACAGCCCCATGGTGGCCAGGAAGTCGTGAGCAGCACTGGTGGCACCAACATAGGTATCAAAGTTCCCCAGAGTCGTCATTTTAGGAAAGCTCAACTCCAATTTAGAGACCTCTAACATCTGAAAGATGTTAGATAGTGGGAGGGACAGTGAAAGAATCCCTAACTGTTCCAAGCGCCCAGCACAAGGCAGAGACACTCTAGACCAGTGGTTTTCAACCACTGATCTGCTGACCAGCGGCAGTCCATGGGAGATTTCCTACCGGTCCATGAGGGGCCACGTCTCGCTTGCCGCGGATCGGCACCGGGGCTGGCTGTGCTCTACCACCTCTTCCTTCATTGGCATCATGTTCACAGGGGATGTGCCAGTGCCGCTAGTGGCGGGTGGGGGGAGGCAGGGAGGGGAGAGGCAGCTTGGTGGGAGCTGGCTGGGAGCCAGTCTGCACCTATTTCAAAAGAGTATTTTGCTCTTTTGTTGGCATTTTCTGTTGCTTGGTTTCTGGTTGTTTAGGAGATTTTTTTATTTTTTGGTATTGTGGTTGGAAACTAATACACAGAATCCTGTAATATGTGTGTGGTGCTTTTTGTTTCTGCCTCAGCCACTGGTCCCGAGGTGGTTTTCCTTTTTTTGTCAGTCCCCAGCAGTGGGAAGGTTGAAAACCACTGCTCTAGACTATATACATTGCCTTTATTTCCAGTTCTTACTTTGAACTAAGTTACATGCGTGACTGACTGCATGCTTGTGAAAGAGCTCAATGAGCTCACTGGCACAACTTTGGGCATGAGCCAATTGCAAAGCACTGCAAGCCACTGGTTTTTAATTTCTCTACTGTCAAGGTTCCCATTGGGACTGTGGTGAAAGAGGATTGTGAAGTCGTGGCTGACCTCAACCACAACGGTGAAGAATTTGTTGCAGTTTATGGTGGCGCTGGCGGGAAAGGCAACCGTTTCTTCCTGGCCAATGACAATCGAGCACCAACCACTACCACTCCAGGAGAACTGGGCCAAGAAAGGATTCTCCATATAGAGCTCAAGACCATGGCCCATGCAGGGATGGTAAGAATGTCTGCCTTGGACCTTGGCTTGCAGGGTTGTGATATTGTACTGCCATACATCACCATGGCAGAAGGATATTGGTTCCATCTTGCTGTCGTTAATTAAATAAAAGCAAAACCATGCTGGTTTTTTTCTAAGTCTTGGCACAAATATAAGTTAAAATGCAGTGTTGTGACTTAGGCCAAATAGCAAGGGTGACTGATTGATATTGCTAGAGAAGAGTGTATTTTAGATAACCCAGTTTGGCTCTTTATTCCAGGTAGGGTTCCCCAATGCAGGGAAGTCATCATTGCTGCGCGCAATCTCCAATGCAAAACCAGCGGTGGCTGCTTACCCATTCACAACCTTAAATCCACATGTGGGCATTATCCACTATGAGAACTACGAGCAAGTTGCAGGTGCGTAACACTTCGTTTTTCGTGCTGCTTGGCAGTATTTCCTGTTGAAAAAAGCAAAAAGAACCGAGCAACCTTGATACTGTTTCTCGGGAACTGAATGCTACGCTTATATTCTTCCGTCACTTGCAGTGGTTGAATATTCTTGGCCTGAACTGGCTAAAGAAAACAAACCGAGCATTCTCTTGCTTGGCCCAGAGGTGGGAAGGCTCAAAGTAAGGAACTTCCCATTTGGAGAGATGTGTTTACTGTGTGGGACACCAGCAAAGATACCACAAGCAGCTCATCCAGGAGTCAGTCCCACAGAGGGAAAGGTGGCCTCTTTCACAACAATAGTCTGCAGTGCTGCATGTTGTCTTTTCATTATGTGAGGGTATTCAGCTGTCCTAGAGTCCTCTAACCATTGGCGTGGGCAGCTGCAATTGCCAGAGCAGGAGTTCTCTGTCTCCACTCCCAGCCCCTTCAAAAGATCCTGCATTACTGCAGCCTTGTGCTGGTGCACCAGGAGACACTGAGGGATCCAGGTTTCCCTGTGCTGAAGAGGAAACCCTACAAGCCTGTTCAGAATGCAGTTTCCCGGTAGAAGGAGTATGAGCAAGCCTCTCTCCCAGCATTTTTCTTTTAATTGTAATTATTTGGAACTCACCTTTCAGGGTACAAACCCTTCCAAAGTAGGATTTGCACCAGTAATTTTAGGCTTTCCGGCACCAGGTCAAGACCTTTTATTTACCCAGTATTTTAAAGTTTGAATTTTTAACTATGTTTTTATTGCAGTCGTGGGTTATTAGTATTATTATTATGTTTGGGTTATAATTATGATAATTTTATTACTATGTGTTTATTGAATGATTGTTGTAAGCCATCCAGAGATGTGCAGTGATTGGGCAGGTTAGAAATACCCAAATAAATAAGCATCAAAAAATAAGCAAGATTATTTTATTAAAAGGGGGATCCTTCACACTGGGCAACTGGGAATAAATGGCCTCCTAAATGGAGGGAAGAGTCCAGCTAGAACAGGAGTGGTTTGCCTGAAGTTAGCCTCACCTGCCTGATTCTGTAGTGGGATCTTTCCCTCCGGTAGCTGGTGGTCCTGTTGTGGGAGGGGAAATCCAGTAGTTTGTATCACTACCGGTTTTCTTCTCTCATAATGGGGAATGCTGTACTCTACTGCCAAAGTCAATGTACAACTTAAGCTACTGCTATATTGCACTGAGATACGTGGAGCTGGCATCAAATGAGAAAGGGTTTTCTTGGTGATGGCACCCCAGCTCTGGGATATTCTCCCTGGGAAAGCTTACCTAGTGCCAGACCAGTCTGTTTTGTTCCTCCAGGTGTGAAGATGCATTACTTTCATCCCTAGTGGGATGAGTTTAATTTTTGGTGGATTTTTTAGCTTTTGTATTGCAATAGATTTTCTATTAGTTTGTGTGCAGGTGTTCAAGTAAATGAAAGGGAGCAGAGAGTCGGTGCTGAGTATATTTCTCTCGCCTTCATCTCCACACAATGAAGATCTCCACTTAAACACAAGGAGAATCCTCTGCACAATTGCAGTCTCTGAAGCCGATTGCACAGAGTTTTACCTGAGTTTCATTTCAAGGCAGTAAGACCTGAAATAAGGTGGGCAGGACCTGTATGCCCAGGGACGTGGGGGAGAAGGCCAACATGCACAGCCCAACTCTCTACCAACTTGAAGCCTTCCTGGATTCACATGAATGCTCAAATGTCAATGTATTTTTATATGTTTTGGGTTCTCCAGCAAGGACTGCCAACAGCCTCCAACAGGTTCTCACTTGTGCTGCAGTTTGGAGATGGGAGGAAACTCAGAATATTTTCCTTGGCTCCTTCTTAGCTTCCCCAAGCCTCTGCACAAGTAAACAGGACAGTGCGTTTTCCCCACAGCCTCTGTACATGCTGGAGGCTGAGAACTGAAGTAGTGTCTTCTGTCCCTTGCCAAAGCTGTTTCAAGGAAGTAAGAAACAGCAAGAGAAACATTTTGGCTTCCTATGTGTTTCTTCTGTGTACATAGTACAAATGAAAGAAATCACTGCTTCCTCCCTACGCACTTTGCTCATAGACTAGGGCACGGGTGGGACCAGAGTTTGAAGAAAAGGCAGATATTGTGACCCCTGTGTTGTATTATTTACAAGCAAGTATATAGCATCGCTTCTCATGCTTCCCTGTGGGCTACTTCTGACCTTGCTGAACTTGCCTCTGAGCGTCTTTTCCTGCTGGATTTCTGCTGCCTTTAGGAAGACAAGGTTATGCCTTTCTGTGATCATGCTCAGACAACCAGAGCCTTACCCATCTTTGCTTCTTTCAGTTGCTGATATCCCTGGGATAATAAGAGGTGCCCATCAAAACAGGGGTCTTGGCTTTGCCTTCCTAAGGCACATAGAACGCTGTGGATTTCTCCTGTATGTGTTGGATCTCTCACTGCCTAAGCCATGGACTCAGCTGCAAGACTTGAAATACGAACTTGATCAATACGATGACAGCTTGTCAAAGAGACCTCATGTCGTCATAGGAAATAAGTTTGATCTTCCAGAGTCAAAGAAGAATTTGCCCCGCCTTAAAGAGCAGGTGGAACAAAGAATCATCCCATTGTCTGCTCTGACAGGAGAAAATCTAGAGGAATTACTGTTGCATCTGAAAGAACTCTATGATGACTTCATGAAAGCAGAGAAAGCACAGAATCAGAAGTGCACGAAGTGGTAGCTCACAATGCCATTCATTTCTAGCCACACTTTGGGGCAAAGGGAACGAGGAGACATTTGTGTTCAGAATATCTGTCATGAGGTGTTGACCTCGGAAGTTTCGTCCTCACCAAAAAACCCTAAAAAGGACACCGGGCTGGGAAGCTATATTACAGTAGCTCTTCAGTGTACTGGTTGTGTGTACAGAGGCTCCATTCATATTAAAGATGTGAAGATCGAGGGAGAAAGCTGCTTCAGTTCATCCCGTTCCACCCCACGCATTCTATGACTGATTCCAGCCCTTTCTGTGGACCCCCAAGTGGAAGACACTTTTTAGTTTTTTAAAAATGCTATTTTATTTTAATCTTAAGGAAGCCTGCATAGTACTATGCGTTCTACTATCAGTGGGCAAAAAAGAAAGGCCATCTGTGACAAAGGAGGCTGTAAGACAAGTGATGAGTTAAGTGAAACATGAGAGAATTAAGTGTGTTTATTGATTTCATGGAATTAAGCATGCTTAACTCTGGGTTGGATGGTAGCCGCCAGGCAGAGGAAGATGAGAGTCAGCCAATTTTTTGTTAGCTCGAAGTCCAGGAGGATGGAAAGACATGGCAAATTTGTTTTAGCACATCTTTTAAAAAGCCTTAATCCTTTCAGCTGTACTGTTTTGCATGTGATCCTTCTTTACCCTTTAGTAGAATAGCTTGGAAGGAATAAGCATTTGTTGTTCACTGTTTGCTCTTTCAGCAACTACTCCTTTATTGTTTGTGTTTCTGTACTCCTTGCATCCATTTCGCAAGAGGAGGAAAGGGCAGGGTGAGAAGGCAGATTAATTACTATGAATGCTCACAGTTAGTTTTGTTCAGTGTTCTTGGAAAAGACCATCACCTTGCATATTGGGGGAAAAGTGCAGATCCCTTCTTTGAAGCAACCACTGCATTTTCTCTCAATACCTGCTGTCACGAAGGGCTTTTTGTCAGCCAGTTTATGGTTTTCAGATGTGCCAAAATGTGATTGTTGAGCAATGAGTGATCTATCCAAAGAAGGACTTGGATTAAATCAGAGATGACCTGGTTTCTTTCAGGAAAAGCTCAGAAGAAATTGGGTAATCTGTGTGAGACAGTCTGCAAGCATCATAAATTTTCCACTGTCAGCCCCAAACCCACCCTTCCCTTCCAGTTAAATAGTGGGGTGATCTCCTCTCCATTCCCCTGATGTGCTAGGTGCCATTCTTCAGGAAATGCAGTTCAGCAGCCCTTGGGAGAGCTACATCTACTATATTTGCCACTGGAAACTTTTCTCCCAACGTGGATGCAACCTGGGAGGGTGATTTTCAACAGGACTGCAGAAAAAGATTGGACGGCCCCATCCCATACACCTTGATATTCATCATGGCTTGCTGCTGCTTCCTTTAAACAAGTCATTTTCAGTGCAATAATGCATTTAAGATCATGTGTTTGGTGCTAAATCGACCTCTGTATCAGTGTGAACTAAGGACATGATTCTGTGTGTGTTCAGACAGGAAAAAAAGTCCAACTTCCAAAATTCTCCTGGTCATGTTAGGAGTTGTAGGATTTCTTTCTGTTTAAACAACCATAGGGTCATGTCCTAAGTTTTCTTTTATACAGTAACAGCCCTTATTCTCTCTGAGACATGGAGACACAAAATGCTTCAGTGGAGCTAAAATCCAATGGGCAAAATGATTATTTTTCTGAAAAAGCCAGGAGCGTTCCTGCCTGTGTTAAATGCTGGCAGCTTGAGACTTGCCTTTTGTGAGGCCAGTGGAGTGGCCACTCTCAACCTTGGGTCAGTCTTGAAAGCTGCTGTGAATGGCCTTACAAGAGGTGCCATGGACTTGGTGTCTTTGTTCAAAACATGTTGTCTGGAGTGGATGCTCTTTAATGAGCTTCACCTTGAAGAGGTTTTGGAAGCACCTGAAAAATATTCTTTTACAAGTGAAGTGCACAAATTAGTCCCGATTTCTATTATTCGTACTGAAACATGAAACTTGATTTAGATAACAAGAAAAGGGGAATGAGGGGAAAAGGTATGTTGCTGGAAGTTACCTAACTTGCTGAAGACAGCTGCTTAAAACAAGACTGCTCTGGTGTCTCTCTCTGTTGTCTGACTGCCATCCTAATTTTAAAAGGGCAAAGCATAAAAGACAAAAGACTTTAAAGGCTAATTAGAATGGCATCTAGTTTCATTTATTTCAACTGCCAACTCAAAGCCAGTAGGAAGGATGCTGAGAACCACCACCCCCACCCCCCCGGTGAGGGGGATGCTACAACTGGGAAGCTGCCATTGCGAAGCCTCCAGAACTTGTAGCCCACTGCTGTACTTCAAGTCATGGAAGAAGAAACCCTCTCAAGATCTTTCTGTGCGCCTGAGCAATGCACAGAAGGAGGTATGCCTTCCAATAGGCAGGATGCGCAATCCACATAATTGGCACATAAAATAAATCCGCTGTTTGAAATGAGTTTAAAAATGTACATCTTTTAGGACTGGTGTTTCAGGACCCACAGAAGTTAAAAATCTCAGTACTACTTTTTGTACCAGTTGAAGTTTATGAATTGCCTGGAAAAGCAGCACTACAGAGAACGCTTTGTGGTGGCTCCAATCTAGAGATTATGAAGGCATAGATCATAGCAAGGGCACAGTACCCCTGGCCCAGGGAGCCAACAGAGGCCTTCTGGGGTTCCCCAAAGGTCATGACTCCTTTCCCTTTGTCTCCACCCATCACTGAAATGAAATGGAGTTCAGTTCTGGGGCTGAAAGAAATTCTGCACTCTTGGATTATGCAGCCTGGAGCTTGGTAACATTTTTCAATGTGTTGGTATTTTTTCTGCCTCCCTTCTTCCAATTATACTAAAGCTTAAAGAAGTTGATCCATGGCTTCCCAGAATGTCTGCATGCTACCTTCTTTCTTGTTCATTCAAATTCTTTCTTAGAATCCATCTTTTGCATGAAGACTTTGGAATAACCCCCTAGTTCCCACACTATACTGTAACTTACCTTGTATTTATGTTTAAGAATATACAACTGAAACACCCACATATTGGGCTGATTCAGAGAACACAATGGGAGCATTGTGGGTTATTTAACCCACAATGAACGGTAGAGTGTGCTGGCCATCATTTTGGATATGCAGCCTCCAAAGGAGTTGCAGCTTGTCACCTAAACCTAGTCTTTGGCGGGTTATGCAATGGTTAAACTACCACTCCTGTAACCCTAATACTAACCAAGGGTTATGTAAGTGTTGTCCTATGACCCTGAAGGCCAAGTGTGGATGACATGGTGCAATCCATTCAGGGTTGCATATTCAAAATGGTGGCCACCATGTGCTGCCTGGGTTAAATAAGCCATGAGAGGTCGGCTAAGATATGCAAATCAGGTGACTGTTTCCTGATCACCCCAGCCTCCATTTCCCTTCCCCTCCCCTGTCTAGATTGTAAGCTCCATGTGAAAGACCTGTCCTTTTGTACTCTAAAATGCCATGCATACTGATAGCATATGTAAATAGTGATACTAATTATGCCTTGTTTATAGATCCCTTGGCAGAGTAAATTAGTTATTTAACGTCTGTGGGAAATTAATCTCAAGGAGATACTGCTCATTTTCTTATTTTGTGATTGTGTTTGTATACCACCCAACAGCTGAAGTTCTGAGCAGTTCACAAAACAGCTAAAACCAAAAAACAGCATGAAAACCTATAAGAACAACTGCAAAATAAAACCAGCAGCAATGCTAACATCTAAAATGCACGAATGCTTTTAAAAAGGGGCCACAGAAGCAGGATGTTATGGAAGTCAAAGTCCAAAAAATCTGGAGATCTTCCTTCTGTTGAACTCTGGTCTGAAGGAAAGCATGATGGTTTGCTTGGCTAAGCAAAACACTTTAGCCAAGTGTTAAATTCTAAGGAAATGCTACTATATTAAATGAGTTCTGAAAACATAGATTGGGTTTAAATGTTTTAGGGCAAAATCCCAGGCATGTTTAGACAGGGAAAAAGCCCTACAACTCGCTGCATGCCCTAGCCCCCATTCCCCCCCCCCAAAAAAAGATTTCTATAAATTGCTGAAATATTGGTACTCTGCATTCAAATGTACTGTTATTTAGATAAAATGCTAATCCCCATACTTGGGGAAGCTAAAACAATACCCATAGCATCTCTGTGCCATCACTGCCCATACTTAACTGGATAACTTTAAATACTTCTGAGTTTCCATGCTTACCATACTTGAGAGCATCCCATGATGTGTTGTTTAATAGAAATAATGATTTGATGTGTTTTTTTCTGGTTGAAGTTCTTGGAAAAGACCCCTAGAGTCCAGTAACAAATACCCAACACTGCATCACACTTTCTAAACAAGTAGTTGATGAAGACTATTTAACCATTCCATTTTTGTACTTCATTTATGACATACCAAAGGCACTGTATTTTTTTTAATAACTTTTATCAAACATCCCCATGCAATATTTTTGTTGATCAAGTTTGTAATTGCAATTTTAAGGTCCTTTCTAAATGTCCATTTGGTTCCCAGAAACAAGAAGACCTGGGACAAGTTGCTACAGAAAAGCTTGAGTAGGAAGCAAATGCTGCTATTCTTCACAGAATGGCTTTTGTGATATTCATTTTGCAAAGAGCAGTTTTCTAGGCTGTATGGAAACAAGAAAGGTTCAAGTGGGTCATTTAGACCTTCTCAGCAGTCACCACAGCAAGCATCGTCTGCAGAACTCACCGGAAACAAGTGACAATGAGTACACTAACCTCTGTAATCACTGCTGAGATTTAAATTAGATTGATCAAGCAGACGTATCTCATCGAGTGACTGCTGTCACGTCATAACCGCCCTCACTCACCTTTCTGTTCCTTCTGGACTGAATGACTGTTGGCAGTGGGGGAACAGAAGTGCCAGGTACTAGGTTTACAAAATGTAATGGTTATTCCTGATGCGCAGCCATTGTGACTCAAAACTCAGGCTTCAGGGAGCTAATGAACACTTTCCGTATTTTCAGTGTATTCAGAGGCTTTTCAGTGTATTCAGAGGCCAATCAGAGGCTTTTCATGTTTGGATTCTTGTAATATCAACTTCTGCAACATAAAATGTTCCTGCCAGAGCTTGAAATAGACCTGTCCTTTGGTTACCCTTTTTGCTGTTATTGGAACGTAAGATAACAAAGGTGTGGAACAAAAGTGTTGAAGGACATTGCTGAGAAGTGAAATTATTTCTTTGTGCAATCTCCACTGAGGAAGATGGTGGAGAGGTGGGTGCATATGATGGATGAAATCATCTGGGCTTGTAGGGGAACACTCAAAACCCTGAGTGTTCTTTAGAAGGTCGGAAACTGAAGGTGAAGAACTGACACAAGAATTTCCACAGCCACTCTCTTCAGTTGTGTGGACTGCAGCTCCAACCTTTCAATTTAAAAGGGCTGGTGCCTTCATACAGCATTTCCTCTTATTTTGTGACGACTAAGTCCCACAGCTGCCTAGAACTGCAAGGTTCAGAAGGGAAAAGCAGGCTTTTGTTAAAGATGATGGTAACTGGGGCAGCCCAGAATTTTCAGGGCCAGCACCAAGATGGAGCAATTCCAAGGAGGGGTGGAGGCCTTCCCTTTGCCCGCTAAGCAAAATGCCCTGGTGCTTCAGTCTTGTAAGCCTTGCAACCATTGCGCCTCTACAGAAAATAGCAGTGTTTTTTAGAAGTTCAAATCCCTGGTCCTTTCCTGGCAAGATGCGTTCTTAATTCCATTTATCCCACCCTTTCTTCAAGGAACTTGGGTTAGTCTATAAGCCCCAAATTCTGTATTTTCACAAATACTCTGCCAGAGGTATATTAGGCAGAAAGGTGGTGACTGCCCAAGATCCCATGTTGAACTTCATGGCTGAGCAGGGATTCGAAACTGCATCTTTTTGGTCCTAGTTAGGCAATCTAAGAACCTTCACTCAGTGACTCTCAAATAAATGGACTATTCATCCTTTTCTGATCATTGCTCTTGTGCGGCTTTGCATAGAGAGCCAGTCATCTAAACGCACAAGTGCCATTCACAGAGGATACCTAGTGTGTGTGTTGCATACTTGGCCGCCCATGTCCAAGTTCAAGATAGCAGGTGAAAGGCCACCAGAGTGAAAACATCCAGCATGTGAACACAGCAGGCGGTGGCCCCAGGTGTTCCATTTCATGTACAGTCCAAAGCATTTTAGCCAGAAAAGTGGGATGCTGGGAGCTGTGCAACTTTTTTTCTGTCTTAAAGCTGCAGAAGATTGCACCCTTGGCGAGCTAGTAACATGACAGCAAGTGACCATCCACAAAGAGTAAAATAATAATAATAAAGTTGCTGCTGAGTCCTGAACCTAAGAAGATGACATTTGAAGCCACTTATTACTGTCATCTCTAGCAGCCTCACTTTTCCCCCAGTGGTAAATGTCACGGTTTTAGCCTAGTGCTGTTGCTATTAGCTATGTCCAGAGTCTGCTAGGCTTTGGTTTAAAGAAGAAACTCACTTTTAAAGCAGACATAATCTGCAGCTTTGCAAGGTTATTAAAACTTATATTCAAATATGAAAATAATGGTCACATTAAGCAATAAAATACATCCAGAGAATCAAGATAACAGTTTTGTCCTGCCCAATAGCAAATATGACAAGAGGCATGGAGCTTTAAAAGCTCACAACAGAATGCAAACTATTCCTAGAAATCTCTCATTAGCAAGATTTCATGTATGAATATCTTTATAATTATTTAATGTCTATACCACCCAATAGCCCAAATTGTCTGGGCAGTGAACAACAGTCATAAATGCAATAAAATACAATATAGACTAAAACAGTAATATATAATAAAATTATATTTGAAATATTAAACTACACTTATGCAACCACACAGCTAAAAGTAGTCCGTACTGTTCAGCCTTCTGAAAAACAGCTGACAACCCTCCTCCGCACCCCAAAACCCTCCCAAGTGCTATTTGGAGTCAGTAAATGACTGAACACAGAGTCTTAGCATGGCACCAAAAAGATAGTAAAGTTAGTGCCAGGGGCCTTGGTGGGAGATGATCCTGCAGTTTGGGATTCCCCTTCCGCAGAGAAGGCTGTGCTCCTCACTGACTCCAGCCCTTTCAGAGGCAGAGCTCAGGTGCTCACGGTAGCGTCCAGGTATATTGTGACTGGCTGAGCCGTTCCATCAGTTACGGTGGTCCCAAGCCACACAGGGTGTTACAGGCTAAAAGCGTCTGTGAATTGTGCACTGAAGGATCCTGCAGTCAGTGCAAGTCAGCCAGAATGGATATTAGGACCATCTGGGCCCACGTACTTTGGCTGTTTCATTTTGCACAAGTGGCAGCTTCTGAGCTGTCTGAAGTCACAATATACTCAACTGTGTTAACTACCTTCCACACTCGCTAAGAAGACCAACTTGGGCACTCTCAGCATTTGTCTCTAAGTAGCAAGGGGAGAGGGGGTGCGATGAAAATGGGTACAAGTGCCTCCCCTCTTCAGGATGCTGCTTTTCCTTGATATTATCAGCTTTCCTACTAAGCAAAGATTTTCCAAAGTTTGGGGGATCCACCCAATGGTAACGTCTTTAAATCTCCCCTTCTTTCTTTCCCAAATATAAATGTTGGGAATTTTGGTAAATGCTTCAACAATAACCTGAAACCAAATGCTCACCCATCTTCATAATAGCCCAGTAAATAGGTACAGTATGGAGAAGCTCATATTGTAACTGTCAGCAATGTAGTTGTGAAACCTGATTTGTCTGTTGGATAAAATAGGACAACACCAACTGGACATTCACATGGATGATTACACAGGTGTCATCTTTTAGGTATACATTTAAAGTCTACCAAGAGCACATCCTTAAAAAACAATGTGGAATGAGAGTTTCTGAATTCAGTGGAAACTAATATCGACCTTCACGCTTCAGATGTGGTCTCCCAAGGACATTGTGAATGTACATGCAGCCTTCAGTTTTTGCATTTTTAGATGGATCAATCAAATTTAATATATGGGATCAGGAATTACAGCTCTCAGTGCTGCATCTCTAAGAATGATCTCGTTCTTGCTACATGCTTTTAAAAAAGACTAAGTGATATCTTACTCATGGTGTGCCTGAATTGCCCCCACTTTCTGTTCCCTTCCCCACTCCTGCTTATTCTCCATCATTCACTTGCAGGAGCAGGAAACATTTATTCTGTCCAGCAGGGCAAAAAGACTCTGAACTTTCTTTTAATGCAAGATGCAGCATAAGTAGAAGGTGTTGAAGAAGAATGCTTTGCCCAGCACTGAAGCTGCACAAATCCTAGACCAGCTTACACTGTCCATTTAGCTCACTGCTATCTGCACTGACCGGTAGCATCTCCGCAGGAGCTCAAGGAGGAGTCCTCCTTAACTACCAGCTGATTCATGAAAGTTGATGGGAAATCCAGTGGGGACCATCCAATGGAGAGGATCACTGAGAGGATTATGGGTATTACGCAAGGCGAGAGGGTGCAGTGCAACAGAGATGCTGGAAAGGCTCCAAGCCCAGAGAATTAGAGGCATCCCAGGCAGGACTGGAGGAGCAAAGAAATGCACCCCTGCTCCTCCCACCATAATAGTCCCAGATGTGTGCCTGAATTGCCCCCACTTTCTGTTCCCTTCCCCACTCCTGCTTATTCTCCATCATTCACTTGCAGGAGCAGGAAACATTTATTCTGTCCAGCAGGGCAAAAAGACTCTGAACTTTCTTTTAATGCAAGATGCAGCATAAGTAGAAGGTGTTGAAGAAGAATGCTTTGCCCAGCACTGAAGCTGCACAAATCCTAGACCAGCTTACACTGTCCATTTAGCTCACTGCTATCTGCACTGACCGGTAGCATCTCCGCAGGAGCTCAAGGAGGAGTCCTCCTTAACTACCAGCTGATTCATGAAAGTTGATGGGAAATCCAGTGGGGACCATCCAATGGAGAGGATCACTGAGAGGATTATGGGTATTACGCAAGGCGAGAGGGTGCAGTGCAACAGAGATGCTGGAAAGGCTCCAAGCCCAGAGAATTAGAGGCATCCCAGGCAGGACTGGAGGAGCAAAGAAATGCACCCCTGCTCCTCCCACCATAATAGTCCCAGATGGCTGATTTTGGCTATTTAGCCTTGGTATTTCAGAGGGGGAGGGAAATAGCCCGAGTGCTGCCAGAATACTTTGGATCCCGGAGTTCTCCCTGCCCTGCCCTGCCCCTCTGGAATGCCCCCTTTACCATATCTCCCAGGTTCATTTTTCAACCTCAGAGGCACTGCTTCTACAGTTCTTTCAGCACCAAATCGAGAGGGGGAGGGGGATTTGAATGAGAGGATCCCCCTCCCCATCATTCTTTGGATGAAGGATGACTAGTTCACACATCAGAGCAGCTCTGCTGACCTCAGAGGGAGGGAAGCCAAAAAATCTTAGCCCCCCCCCCCAGGGGGCATCGGACCACTCTGTTTACTGGGGGTGCCAGGGATTCAGATGGGCACCCTCTGCATGCAAAGCATGTTCTCTGCCCCCAAACCGTGCTCCCTCCCCAGGTTGACCAAGCCTGGGATTTGCAAAATCTGTATGCATGTGGCCACTTCACCACACATCTTTGTATTAGCCTCTTTATGCCTATGGATTTTAATGGGATTTGGACTAAATTCACACAAACAGAAGTTAAAAGCAACACTCCTCAGTCTTCTTTCAGAAACACAGTATCTGTTTATAGCCTCCTAGGAAAACAGGACACAACAGGGATCAAAAACATCAGATGGCAGGTGCTGGATCGCATGGCTGCCAAACACAGCGTGGGCTCTGTGCTGCCTTTTCTGGATTGGCCAAATGGCCGGGTTAGAAGGGTTGAAGAGCAGCCACACCAGAGGAAAGACCCGTCTGGAGCAGCAGATGCTGGGCAGCTACCCGCTTAGCACTGCTTGTAGCCCTCGCTTGCCCTGTGACAAAGGGTCACTTTCTGGCAGTTAAGCTGGCCCTGCAGATGCTCAAAGCGAGTGTGTTGCTGTGGCTGCCTCACCAGGCGCTTCATGGGGTGTCCTTCCATCCAGTCCCTCTCGAGTCACCAGCCAGTCACGATTCTGTGAGTGCTTCGCCTGCATAGCTCAGTATCAACAGCATCATAGA